GTGTGGGGCAGACCTACACACTGCTCATCAAGCCATGCTGTGGCAGCATCCCACATACAAAATAGAGGAAGACTGCCACAGATGCTAGCTCAGGGCCAATCTTGCTCACCAAAAAACCCCAAAAAAACAAAAAAACAAAATGCAAGAAAAACCCATTTATAGTCACTTGACTTTAGGTTAAGCAAATGACCCTCCATGATGTGGGTGGGCCTCATCCAGTCGGTTGAAGGCCTTAAGAGCAAAGTCTGAAGTGTCCCAAGGAAGAAGGAATTCTACCTCAAGATGACAACATAGAAACCCTGAGTTTCCAGCCTGCTAGCCTGCCCTACAGATTTGGGACTTGCTAGTTCCCACAATCATGTGAGCCAGTTCCTTAAAACAAATCCGTCTCTTTTTCTCTCTCTCCTATTGCTACTGTTTCTCTGGAGAACCCTCACTAATACAGAGGGCTCCAGGAAGGAAGATCCTAGAGAAAAAAATGGAGCTGACAGACTGTGAGTTTGACCATAATCTTAGAAAAGTTGTCCAGTTTTGGCAGAGAGCTTGCAGACAAATTAGTGATAGATATTTTAAAGATTTTATTTATTCAGTTTTTTCCCCCCAAAGCCCCAGTAGATAGTTGTATGTCATAGGTTCACATCCTTCTAGTTGCTGTACGTGGGACTCGGCCTCGCGTTGGACGGAGAAGTGGTGCCTCGGGGCGCTCCCGGGATCCAAACCCGGGCCGCCAGCATCAGAGCGCGCGCACCCAACCGCCAAGCCACGGAGCCGGCCCAGTGATAGATATTTTAAAGGGAAGGGAAATATTGAGGCGATTGTTAACTCCAGGGAAAACAAAAAATGGTACAAGGAGATAGGGTAATTATTCTGCCCTGCTTGGCTCAGTTGTAAACACCGAATACTGATTTAAGAAGAATGGCAGTGGTAGAAGAAGTTATGGGGAAGTTGTGGTGTGAGTTAAAATCTCATCTTCATTGAGGAAATTAAAAAATATCTGGGCCGGCCCTGTGGCTTGGTGGTTAAGTGCGCGTGCTGCGATGCTGGTGGCCCAGGTTTGGATCCCGGGTGCGCATCGAGGCACCGCTTCTCTGTTCATCCTGGGGCCGAGTCCCACATGCAGCAGCTAGAAGGATGTGCAGCTACGACACACAACTATCCACTGGGGCTTTGGGGGGAAAAAATAAAATAAACAAAATCTTTAAAAAAAAAAAATCTAAAACTTAAGAAATAGCAACAATACTTAGAACAAGGAGGTAAATAGCAGAAGAAACAACTAAAAGTGCTGAAAGCAGCTGCTTCTGCTGAGTGAGTCCAGTGGGAGTGGGTGGGGCAGGGAATTGCTGTTTATCGTTATAAGTCTCGTAGATCGTCTGGTCTCTTTCAAGTCCATACGTGTATTACTTTGATAAAAATAAAAACTAAATTAAAAGTTATGTGGGTCCAATGTGGAAAATTTGGAAAGTACAGAAAAGTATAAGGAAGAAAATAATAATTATTCATAATTCTTCCACTCCGAGAAAGCAAGTATGCACATTTTAGAGGAACAGAATTATTAAATAAATTTGTTGAGATTAAATTGTCAGAGCTTGAGGATTTAAAAATATCACAACTTAGATATAAATGAACAAATACTAACAGTATAATTAACTATATGGGTAACATTGTAGGTATAATTATATACAGTATAATCATATACAGTATGATCCCATATGTGTATATATGTGTGTTAGAAAGTAGTCTGGAGGGATACTCACCAAAATGTCAGTTGGTAGTGACCAGGGCTGGGACTAGGGTGGGCAGTAAGGTGCCCTGGACACACAAGGTGAGGAGGTGCTTACTCTCAGGGTCATGCAAGTGCAGGGGCTGCACCTGAGCTTAAGAGCCTCCTTCAATGCTGTGCCCTAGGTGCCTCACTTACCTCACCCGAGTCTGGCCCTGGTAGGGACCTTGGGCTGCTGGATCATGGGCACTTTCCCCTTCTTATTCTTCCCTTAGATATATGTTCAAGTTGCTTGCTACTCCAAGTCTGGTACGTGCACCAGCGGCATTAGCATCACCTGGGAGCTTGTTGGACATGCAGAATCTCAGCTCTGCTCAGACCTTCTCAATCAGAATCTGTAGTTTAACTGAATCCCAGGGGATGTGTGTGCACGCTAAAATTTGAGAAGCACTGGGCTAGCAGGCACCAAGCACAGTTCCTATCCTCTTCTGGGAGGAATATTCAGAGGCAACTGATCTCATCACGTCCAATGGGTGGGGCACACACTGCCGGGGGTAAGATGCCTGTCCTTTAGAGGACTGTGGTCTTTGCTGAGAGGCTGAGCTTCAGCTGGTGAAGCAACTGCAGGTCAGCCTGATGGAGAAGCAGCAGGTGGTTCCCTTGGGACAAAGAACAATTTGGGGGCCAGCGCCAGTGGCCTAGGGGTTAAGTTGGGCAGGCTCTGCTTGGGCAGCCTGGATTTAAAGAGAAGGGAAAGGCTAGTGGGTCCGAAACTGGGGAAAAGAGCAGACAAAAAAGTGCTAATATTTAAACCAAGTAACTCAAGTCCCAGGGGGATAAAGAATAACTTGGTACACTATAAGGTTGTTTTTTCCAAGAGCTTTTAGAGAAATCTGTTATAAAACTGAGAAGCTTGGATTGGGTGAATTATATTGTAATTATAATTACATGAGGGCAGAAATAATATACAATAGAAAATATAAAGGGATTGACTCTGTTCAGTGTTCCCATTAATCAGAAGTCAATTAATAAGGGTTCTGCTATATGTCAGTTCTCCATTTAGATTAGTAAATCAGATTAGAAGAGAACAGCAAAGTAATATATACTACTATGGCAGACATTATTAACTGGATTAACACAATATCCATTCCCAACCCCTTTCTTCTTTGCCTGCTTCCATTACAGAGCATAAAAAAGCTGAGTACTTGCTTTCCCAAGAAGGGTAGCCACGTGATACAATTCTGGCCAATGAGCCCTCTGTGTAGGTCTCTAGAAACTGTATGAAGCAGCCACCACTCTTTGGAACAGATTCAGAGTGATCTTTTCAGGGCCTGGAGTAGGGTGAGGTGAGCAAGACACTCGCCTTGGTACAAGATTTATGAGGGCGGGGAAAAACTCAGTAATCAAGATAATATGTTAAAAAATAAAAATTAATGCAAAAAAATCCATGATGAACAAAATAGCAACATTTAAAATAAAGGCCGCATCTGACAACACCAGTATTAGAGTGAGGCAAATGAGGCTGAGTGCTGCAAGTACAGGGTCAGATCACCCTAGTTTCCAACTCACAGTCTGGGGTGGGTATAAGTGGCACTTAGGTTTTGTGCCCACACCCTAGGTGCAAAGGAGTCTAGGAGAGAGGATATCTGGAATCAGCAGTTTTGATAGTGAGAAGTGGGAAACGCATGAAAAGGATTCAGGAGCTGGGTGGTCAAAAAGAATGACAAATATCCACTACACTTTTTGGAGTCATGGTAAAATGTCATCACCTGGATCCATGTAGGGAGAGCAGCATATTCTGGCTGGGTTATTTTGAGGAAAACTTTAGTATTTATTAAACTTAGGGTGCAGATAAATTAATATAGGACTATGGACAGCAGAGAATGAAATCCCTCTTCTGAAACTGGGAAGGTTCCAAGGAAAACATAAGGTTTGATCTGGGCTTTAGAGGAAGGAAAGGGGGAAAGCAGAAAGAACACTGAATTCGCAGTCAGAAAATGGGGTACCCTACTTCCCTACTTGGCTTAATAGCTGTGAGAATTCAGGCAAGTCCGTTTGCTTCTCTCAGTATTAGTTACTTTATGTGTAAAATGTCATCCTATGCAACCTGCCAAAGAGTTGTGAGGATCAACTGAGATTAAATGAGTGAACGCAGTTTATAAACGGAAAAGCACTATGCAAACATCTAGTACTGTTATTAAGTCATTAAGGATGGGAAGGAGTTGGACACAAAAGGCATTGGGGGAGAACGGCCTCTAGGCAGAGAGAATGAAAGGTGAAGTGGTTTTCGCAAGAGGCCAGACAAAAGGAAACTGGGCTTTGAAGTCTAAAAAGATGAAAGCAGTCAAGGAAGACCTATACTTTTAAGATCATTAAGGAAACAAAGCCTGGGACCCCAAGCTTGAAGGATCAAACTAAGCCCTATGGTCTTACAAACAGTTACACAAGAGAGTGAGGCAGGGTAATATCACAAAACACCCTAATGAATGACTTGCACACATGCTTCTTTCGCACCCTGGATGGCCTCTTTGAAGTCAGGCGGGGACCATGCCTTACTCAGCTTTGTTTCCAGGAGCGTGACAATTTCTGGTCAAGAGCACTCTGCTCCATTCTCTTGACCCCAAGAGGTGGTACAGGCTAAGCGGTTGGGTAGCATTGAAAAGCAGGTTCCTCGGGGCACACTGGGACCCCCTCCTGGTAGCCCACGTCCAAACCTATGAGAGCTCGCCCGATCCCAGCGTAAAGCGTGTTAATCCTGACTCAAGGAATAGTACGTGGGGCCAAGGGCTCCTGCAGACCTGTTACTACGACGGTCGAAAATCAAGGGAAGGTGGGCGATGAGGACTATATAGGTGATAAAATTTCATAGAACTACAGATGAGCGCGAGCACGCAGAGACACGCACAAATGCATGCATGCCAAACTGGTTGACCTGAGTAAGGTTTGTAATTCAGGTAATTGTATTGGATGAGTTAGTCGTCTTGTGCCGGGGTCAATTTCCTGGTTTTGATGATGTAGTATAGTTATGTAAGATGTTGAGGGAAGCTGGGTGGGTGATGGGTATATGGGACCTCTTTATGCTAATTTTACAACTTTTTGTGAATCTATAACTATTTCGAAATAAAAAGTGAACAACAACAACAAAACCGTAAGGGAACCTCCGCTGACCCCTCCCTACCCGGAGCCCGCGGCGCACCTCACACTTCTGCCCTCGGCGAGGCCTCTCCTGTTGGGGTAGGGCGGGGAGGGGTGTGGTGGGGCGGGGCTGCGCACGCGCAGTCCTGAAACCTCTGCCGCGTCGCCGGGAAGCCACGCTTGCGCAGTCTCGGCCCCCGGCCCCGCGCCAGCCCCTCTCAGCGGCGGGGGACTCGGCTGCCTTGGCCCCTGCGCGCTGCCGTCTTTTCCGGCAGTTGGGGCGCTTCCTGTTGTCCTCGCCCGCAACGGCTCCTTGGCCCTACCTCAAAGCCCTTCACGGGTCCCCGCGCATTTTCTGGAGGGCTGACTGCTGCCGCCGGGGCTTCGCCTGTCCCCGCTTCGCGACCGCTGGCCGGGCCGGCGTCTGAGGCTGTCCGCGGCCCCCAGCCCTGCCTCCCCCGGGGCTCTGGTGAGTGTCTTGCTGCCGCTGTCTTCTGTCCATCCCCGGTTTTTTCCTTCATCTCCTTTTCCCCCGACTCTTTTTGGGGCTCTCCCCTCCCGCCGGCGCCCTCTTTCCTCTTTCCCCACCCTCTCGGTCCCTCGGCCGCTCTCTTGCCCTCCTGACAGTCCCCCTCGTCCCGGTTTCCAGAGGCTCCTTGTCGGGTCTCTGCCCATTTCCCCCGTCCCAGGCTCCCCACCCTGGCCTTTCCCTTTCTTCGTGTGCAGCTGGGGCGGGGAGCCAGGCTCTTTTCTCCTGTACATGTTGTCAGCTTTGTCTGTTCGCTGCCACCGCTCGGTCCCCTCCGGGATCTCGGTCACTACCAATTTCCATCTCCTGTTCTTTTTTTGGGGTCTGAGAACCTGAGAGCTGTTGTGTGAGGCAGAGATGTCGACAACGAGGTGTGGTGCTTTTGAGTCTGCCCTTTTCCCCATGGTTAGTCTTAGGGTACGGGGCTTCAGATCATCTTAAAAATCACAGGAGAATTTGGTGAGGACTCGTCTTTTAAGAAGAGAGTGGGAAAGGAAAGTCGGTAAGGACTTAGAGGAAAGTCCGTGTCAGAAAGTGTACAGAACGGCTAGTAGAACAGATTTCCCAGTTGCACTTTGAATTGACTGCAAGACACGAAGAGAAACTTTTGAAATGTACAGAGGAAGGTTGGAGTAAAGTAGACTCTGTGCTTTCTCTCGCTTTCAGCTCACCTTGGTTCTGAATTAGAATTAACCAGGCAGTAGATGTGGTTTCCCTAAACATAAAACCACCGCCACCACAGTAACAAGGCTCCACTCTCCACTCCAGACATTAGGTATCAGCTTCCTCATTAGAGGATGGGAACTTTGTCCTCCAACTCTGTATAGAAAACCATTCCATGTCCCAGCCCTATCTCCATCACACATACATGTTCTCAACTCCTAGTCATGGACGTAAAAAACGAGTGTTTTCCTAGTAAATCTTTTATAAGGTGCTTACTTAAAAGTACATAGCATTGTGTGTAAGATGGGGGAAGGATATTAAAAAGAAGTTTAAGACAGGGTGCTTGCTTTCCAGTGGCTTACGGTTCAGTAGGAAAAGTTAAATATGTGACTCTTAAGGAATAGTCTTAGCTCCAATGTTGAATTGGATTCATCATTGTCCAAATGAAAGGTATTGGATTGTCGGTCACAAAGAAGTAAAGATTTGGTGAGAGAAGAGGGTGTTTATGGAGATAACAGAGTACCATTGTAAATCCGGTCAACCAGGCATAACTATCTGTATTGAATAAAACAGTGGTTTTCATTTGATCTCCTTTTATGTTTGCAGTACCTACCCCGACTTATAAGGATCATATTCTTTTTGTTACATTTTTAAACTTTTAAGAATTTCTCACCTACCTGTTATTCCCTAATTCTGCAGAGTTGGAGAATGAAACAAATAGGTGAAGGGCCTGCAGTGGCCTGTAGGTCAGGGCGTGAAGGCTTGAATTAGCAAAAGCAGGAGGGAAAGCCTTGTCTTATTAAAAGTACTTGGTTGAGGGCCAGCCCCGTGGCTTAGTGGTTAAGTGCGCGCGCTCCGCTACTGGCGGCCCGGGTTCGCATCCCAGGCGTGCGCCGATGCACCGCTTCTCCGGCCATGCTGAGGCCGCGTCCCACATACAGCAACTAGAAGGATGTGCAACTATGACATACAACTATCTACTGGGGCTTTGGGGGAAAAAAAGGAGGAGGATTGGCAATAGATGTTAGCTCAGAGCCGGTCTTCCTCAGCAAAAAGAGGAGGATTAGCATGGATGTTAGCTCAGGGCTGATCTTCCTCACACACACACAAAAAAGTACTTGGTTGACCCAGAAAGCCTATAAATTGCTATAGGGCAACAGTAATTGTATCTTTTGATGAAAGGTTATTAGAATTAGGCTAACCCTTTTATGAGTGGAGGAGGAGGAGGTTTTGAAGAAAAGTTAAAGGGAAGGACAGTGCAACCTTTGCCATTACGTTAGAGACTATGTGAAGATTGAAAACCATTCTGCTGGAAAATTTGTTGGCCTACTATATGAGCATCTTTGGGTGCACTTAATCTCCTGTTGATCTTTTTAAAAGTTTAGGAAGTCATGCCAGTGACTTAAATGGGTCAAAACTTTTACCCTCAAGTTTTTATATACCCATCAATATAAATGTAGTTTTGTTCTTTAGCTTTGTTGACAACTGAAAAATCATTAACTTGCTCAACTTACATTTATTAACCACCTATTATATGGAAGGCCCTGTTTGTCTTAGGCTTAAACACTCTCTAGTTGTTGTATTTTTATGTTGAAATAATTTCAGTTGTTAAAATGTAACTGCATATATATATATATAAAGGGTCTCCAGAAATTTTCAGACAAGGGAGGAGTACAAAGCACTCACTTGCTTCAGACTTGTTTTTAAATCTGGTTTTAAAATTTCTTCACCAAACTTAGAGTGCATGTGGTTTTCATTGTGGGTGGAGTGGGTACAGGCTGACAAATAAGGAACCACACCCAAACTTTATAAACCAAACAGAGGTTTTTAAAAAAATTCTTCTACTGATATCCTGAAAACATTTGTTTGCTTTGTATTAGAAACTTCCCCATAATAAATAACATTTCATAGTTATGTAGAGCTGGATACAATGTCTCGAATTTGTGATTACTGATCATTTTGGCACATCATAAAACAAAATGTTTGACTCTGAAGTAAAGCCTTGATTTTGAATCTCTGCTCTGAAGGGATTATTCTTTATGTGATTTTTCCCTTGAGTATCTTTTTATAAAATCGCTTAATGTTAAGTCTTTTTTCTTAATAATAAGAAGTTTGCACATTCCTTAAAAGCTTTAGTTTAATCTACAAAACAATTTAGAAAACTGCTAAGTATTAAGGAGAGAATCTTAAGAAAACTTTTCATAAAATGCACTATCTTTGAAAATGGCCCTTTGCCCCTTCTAATTTTTACTCAGCTTTATATTCAGATGAAAAGAAAGACATAAAGACAGGTCATGTGGGAGGAAGGCGTGATAAGGGTAAAATATCGAGCATTATTGCTAATGCTGGAGCAGGTCAAGGTTGGTGAACAATCTGGCCAAGTGTGACAGTATAGGTTGATAAAAATACCTGGGGGAAAATGCGATTTAAATTTAGGGGGGAGGGCCGGCCCCATGGCTTGGCGGTTAAGTGTGTGCACTCCGCTGCTGGTGGCCCAGGTTCGGATCCAGGGCGCGCACTGAGGCACCGCTTCTCTGGCCATCCTGAGGCCGAGTCCCACATACAGCAACTAGAAGGGTGTTCAGCTATGACATACAACTATCTACTGGGGCTTTGGGGGGAAAAATAAATAAATAAAATCTTTAAAAAAAAAAATAAATTTAGGGGGGAAAAAATTCTATGAGCTATCTAAACCTTGTTGGTATTGGTTTTATCATATGTAAAACTGGGAGGTTAGGGTCCCTTGTTTTTAATGTATCTTCCATCACTAAAATTATGATTCAGGTTTTTTCTTTGTAATATTGTTTCTGTCATAGGTCTTTGTTTTAACTTGTAAATTCAAATAGCAAACATTTATCAAATACCATAAGCCGTGTCAGAGTACATAGATACTTATATGAGTATTTTATTTTTTTACTTTTATTTATTTTTTAAATTTAATTAAATTTTTTTTTTTTTTTTTTTGGTGAGGAAGAGTCACCCTGAGCTAACATCTGTTGCCAGTCTTCCTCTTCTTTTTACTTGAGGTAGATTAGCCCTGAGCTGTCATCTGTGCCAGTCCTCCTCTATTTTATATGTGGGATGAGGCCTCAGCATGGCTGACGAGTGGTATAGGTCCACAGTGGGGGTCCGAACCTGGGCCACTGAAGCAGAGTGTGCTGAACTTAACCACTGCACCATGGGGTTGGCCTAGATGAGCATTATAGAGTCATGGATTTTTTTTTTTAACTGTAGAAACTGTACACTTAAAAGTTATTAATACCTTGATGGTAATAGTACATGCTCATTGAAGAAAATATAGAAGATGTGGAAAAGCATGAAAAAGAATAAAAAAATGATTTATTGTATTCTCACTCCCTAGTGTTAAGCCACTAATAACATTTTGATATATATCTTTCTAATAATTCTGTGCACATACTGTAAACACATATACAAAATTGAGATCATGGTATACATTCTGTTTTGTAACCTAGTCTTTTCACATAGATTGGAAACATTTCCCCTGACATTAAACATTTGAACATGTTTTAGTTGTTTGCATATTATTTCATTATAGGAGTTTTTCATAATTAATTAGTTTTGTTGTTGGATATTCAAGTTATTTTTAGTTTTCCTTTGTCATTACAATGCTGCATTGAACCCCCTTGTGTATGAATCCTTATGGGTCTTTGATTTCTTCAAGGTAAATTCCTAGATGGCAAAGAATTGAACTGTGTGTATATTATATATTCCTAATTTATGCATATGGTATTGTGATCTTGTTCTCTTCCTTTTTAAAAATACAACAGTATATTTTAAAGATATGTTCACGTTGCTTTTAGGTACAGGTAGAGTTGCTTCTGACTCCTGCATGGTATTTCTTCATATGTGTCCATAGAATAAAATAAAATAAAAATAATTTATTTCCTTATTGAATTGCCTCCAACTTCCCAAAACACAAATGATGGCATAATGAACATCTCTGTAATACACATCCTTGTACCTGTCCACTTAAGAGCCTGTGTGACAATTTCTCTAGGTCTTATACCTATGGATGGTATTTCTGGGTCATAAGACATTAATGTATACTTATTTTCACCGAGCATTCTGTTTGTCTGGCTTTTTTTTTTACGTATTACAGTCATGTGTTGCTTAATGATGGGGATACATTCTGAAAAATGTGTTGTTAGGGGATTTCATCATTGTGTGAACATCATGGAGTGTACTTAAATAAACCTAGGTAATATAGTCTACTATACACTTAGGCTATATGGAACTAAGCTTATGGGACCACCATCTTATGTGGTCTGTCGTTGACTGAATTGTCGTTATGTGGTGCATGACTGTACTTGTTTGTCCTCCAGAAAACTTGTACCAATTTACATTCCTACCAATAGGGTAGGAGAATGCATAATTGGTGGATTCTAACTCCAAAGCTAATGCATCTTCTTTTCTTTGTTTCTAGCAGCCATGGCAATGACAGGCTCAACACCTTGCTCGTCCATGAGTAATCACACAAAGGAAAGGGTGACAATGACCAAAGTGACACTGGAGAATTTTTATAGTAACCTTATCGCTCAACATGAAGAACGAGAAATGAGGTAAAGATTTGACCAATTTGTTTTAGAAAATTGTTTCATGGTTTTGGCATTCATGTCTAGTATTGTAAAACACATTCATAATATCAATGAAAGGGGACAAGGATAGCAGCAGCAGTCATGTTATAGCCTATCACATTACAGTGAAATGACAGTGTCATTGATTTCCAAAGCCCTTGCTATTAACTCACTTATTTCTACTACTAGTCAATAACACAAAATTCCATGGTAGTATAAAAAAATTAATTGGGCCAGATCCTTGGAGTTCATTGTGAAGGCAATGTGATGTAATGGAAAAAGCAGGCCTTATGGAGTCAGACCTGGGTTTAAAATCCTGCCTTATTACTATTTAGTAGCTGTATGGGTCTGGAACAAGTTCCTTAGTCTTTCTGTGTATCAACTTTCCCATCTGGAAAATGAGAACAATGCTGCTTGCCTTGCAGGATGTGTGTGAGTACCCACCATGGTGCTTCACACATAGATTACTATGTTAACCACTTAGTTAATGGTGGTAGTAGCAGCTATTGTTATTGATCTCATGTATACTATCCATGTAGTAACTCATAATTAAAATATTTTTTCCAACATTTTATTATGAAAATTTCAAAAGTGCAGAAAAGTTGAAAGAATTATACAGTGAATATGTACATCATTTAGATTCTACAATTATCATTTGTTGTTTTTTCACAAATCCATCTGTCCCACTATCCATTTGCTGTATTTCAAAGTATGTGTTATAGACATCAGTATATTTTACTTCTGAATATTTTTGCTTGTGTGACAAACTAGAGTTCAGTATTTAGAAAGTCATGTGTCATTTAACAACAGGGATATGTGCTGAGAAACGCATTGTTAGAAGATGCAAACCTAGTTGGTATAACCTAATATACACCTAGGCTATATGGTACTAATCTTATGGGACCACCGTCATATACGCGGTCTGTTGTTGACCAAAATGTCATTATGTGGCGCATGACTGTATATATTTTTTTTAAAGGGAGTGTAAAATTGCATATAATGAAATGCACAATCTTAAGGGTAACATTCGATGAGTATCGATAAATGCATACCCCTGTATAGCTTACACCTCTCTTAAGACATGGAGCATTACCAGCATCCCAGAAAGTTCTTTCATTCCTGGAGATGCTCCTTCAATCCCAGGCAACCACTGTTGTGATTTTGTTTCTACCAGAGATTAGTCTTGCTTATTCCATAAAATGGAACATGTAAGTGGATTTATATAGTAAGTACTCACTTGTGTAAGGCATCTTTCACTCAGCCTCATGTTTTCAAGGTTCATCCATGTTGCTATTGTATCAATAGTTTGTTCCTTTATTTAGCTGAGTACTGTTCTATTTTCTGACTATACCTCAGTTTGTTTATACATTCTTCTGTTGATAAACATCTGGGCTTTTTTTCAGTTTTTGGCTATTTTGAATAAATTTCTATGAACATTTGTGTGCAGATCTTTGTGAACATTTGTTTTCAGTTCTCCGGTGAACATTTAGGAGTGAAATTGCTGGATCATAAACCTACATAGGTATATGTTTAGTTTTATAAGAAACTGCTAGACCTTTTTCCAAAATATTACCAACAGTGTATGAGAGTTCCAGTTGCTTTACATTTTTGCTACCATTTGTGTTTAGTCTTTTAACTTGAGCTATTTTTGTGGATGCTGAATAGTATCTACTGTTGTTTTAATTTGCATTTCCCTGATGATTAGTTATAGTGAGCATTTTTTTATGTGCTTTTTGTCCATTTGTATATTTTCGTTTGTGAAGTGTTTGTTCAAATTTTTTGCCCATTGAGTTGTGGGAGTTCTTTGTGTATCCTAGATACTGGTCCTTTGTCACATATATGTTTTGCAAAGAGTTTTTCCCAGTCTGTGTCTTTCCTCTTCATTTTTTTTAACAGTGTCCTTAGATGAGCAGAAGTTTTAAATTTTGATGAAATCTAATTTGGCGTTTTTTTCTTTTATAGTTATTGCATTCTGTGACTTCTAAGAAACCCAAGATATAAAGATATTTTCCTACGTTTTCTTCTGGAAGTTGTATAGGTTTAGTTTTTGCCTTTAGTTCTGTGATCTATCTCAAATTAATAAATGTGTGTGCCCTGAGGTGGGGGGTTGAGATTTTATTTTTTTTCTTATGGATGTCCAGTTATTTTAGCATCATTTGTTGCAAAGATTTTCTTTTCCCCTTTATATTGCTTTGGCAATTTTGTCAAAAATCAAATACCATGTAAGTGTGTATCTGTGTTTGGGTGCTCTGTTCTGTTTCATTGATCTATTTGTCTGTCCCTATGCCAGTATCACACTGTCTTGATTACTGTAGCTTTGTGGTAAGTTTTGAAGTCAGGTAGTGTAAATCCTCAGCTTTGTTGTTTCTTTTTTTTTAAGATTGCTTTGGATATTCTACGTTCTTTGCATTTCCATATAAATTTTAGAATTAGCTTGTCAATTTCTATAGAAAAGCCTGATAGAATTATGATTGTAATTGTATTGAATCTGTAGATCAGTTTAGGAGAGAATTGACATCTTTTGTTTTTTTTTTTTGTGAGGAAGATCAGCCCTGAGCTAACATCCACGCTAATCCTCCTCTTTTTGCTGAGGAAGACTGGCTCTGAGCTAACATCTATTGCCGATCCTCCTCTTTTTTTCCCCCAAAGCCCCGGTAGATAGTTGTATGTCATAGTTGCACATCCTTCTAGTTGCTGTATGTGGGATGCGGCCTCAGCATGGCCGGAGAAGCGGTGCGTCGGTGCACGCCTGGGATCCGAACCTGGGCCGCCAGCAGCGGAGCGTGTGCACTTAACCGCTAAGCCACCAGGCCGGCCCCAGAGAATTGACATCTTAACAATATTGAACCTTCTAATACATGAACCTGGTATATCTCTCCATTTTGTTAGGTCGTCTTTAATTTTTCTCAGCAGTGTTTTGTAGTTTTTAGTGTGGAGGTCCTACATGTCTTTTGTTCATCTGTTCCTAATATTTTGGGGTTTTTTTGATGCTATTGTAAATAGGTATTTAGAATTTTTCATTTTCCAGTTGTTTGCTGCTAGCATATAGAAATGTAACTGAATTTTGTATATTGACCTTATATCCTGCGACTTGCTAATTTACGTATTCTAGTAGCTTTTTTGTAGATTCCTTAGGATTTTCTATGTAAACAGTCATGTCATTATTTAAATAGAGAATTTTACTTCTTCCTTTCCAATCTATACACCCTTTCTTTCTTTTCCTTGCCTTATTGCATTGGCTGGGATTTCGGGTACAATGTTGAATATAAGTGGTGGAACTAGGCATCTTTGTTTTGTTCCTGATTTAAGGGAGAAAGCACTCACGATTTCACTGTTAGTTATGATGTTAGCTGTAGGTTTTTTCAAAGATGCCCTTTATAGGTTGGGGAAGTTTCCTTATGTTCTTATTTGGCTGAGAGTTTTTATCATGAGTGGGTGTTGAGTTTTATCAAATGCTTTTTCTGCATCTTTGAAATGATCATATTGTTTTTCTCTTTTATTCTTTTAATATGGTGAATTACATGGACTGATTTTTGAATGTTAAAATAACCTTGCATTCCTGGGGTAAAACCGTCTTGGTCATAATGTATTATTCTTTCTAAGTTGCTGAATTCAATATGCTAATATTTTGGTAAGGATTTTTGCAACTATATTCTTCATGAGGATATAAATCATAATTTACATGGGATATATGATTTGACCTTAAATATGCAGATCTGTGTGAGGAATAGTAAATTATTTTATAGCTAGTGGTGGCTAGCTGCTCTTCAGTGGAACAGATAAGTGCCTGCACAGTGCTCTTTGTTAGGATCATAGGAAATCCAAAGATAAATTTGCCCAGTATATCTCTAGGCATGTGAAACCTGTTGGAGATAATTATTTTCAAACGCAGCCACTCTCTTGAAATCAGAGCTTCTGGTGTTGTAGTTATAAAGCAAATACTTATGAGTTCTGATTAAGTTACTTGGTTTATTTGGTAATAGTCAGTTGGTTTTTAATCCTTCTGACTCAGCCCGGTGGATCATCATTGATATATATTACGTTCTCCAGGAACAAGATGATGTATGGTTTTATTTACATTATTAATAAATGTTACATTGTGATTTACACTTAAGATTGCACCCAAAAATGGGTTGAAATCAGTGCTGTTTTTTGTTTTGAATTCTTAAGATGTAAAGACTTTCCAAAAGCTTTGGTGGTTTTGCTTTTCTTAAAGACCAAATTAATCAAAAGACAGATACTAAGAAGAGAATGTTAGACTTTAAGGGGTTAGAATGTTTGTTTTTGGTAATTTTTGTTGTTATCAAATCATTATTTTTCATTTAAAAAAAGCAGTAGATACTTGGATCTTTTCAGAATCAGTATTTCCTTGTTAGTCTTTTTTGTTTAGTGCCCTCTTTTTTTGGACATGTGTTGGTATTTGGTTTGGGGTTTGTTACAATTTGTTAAGACTGTTAGGTTTTATTATTCCTAGAAAATTAAAAAATTAGAAAAGAAAAACAGTGATTGGCAGGAGTTACTGCACTAGTAACTAAACTAAAATTAGAACTATCAGAAATGGATTTTCAAGCTTTTTGATGTTATGGGGGGAGATGTCATAGAACCTTGATGAATAAGCAGAGTTTTAATGGTATGAGACAATCGATGATCAAGAAACATTTTATTATGAGTATATGGCTAATATATGATGAGTGGTTTGAAATAATAATAAGTATTGGGCTAGTAAATTTTGAAATCAGGCTGTAATACAAGTTTTCATTTTATATGTGCCTCATCTGAATGCCTTTTAAATCTCTAGTACGTCTCCCACTTAACATGCAACTTTTGCACTGTTCCATTTATAGAACAGCACTAGGTTATATTTGAAACAAAGGACTTTGTTTCTGCAGGGGGAGATGAGACCAAAGCCTAGAGGTAGAAGAAAGAATGAAAATCATTTTGGAATTGTTTCTCGTATAAAAGTAGAATATGAGAAAATTGGGCAGTCTCACAGAAACACTACAGCAAGTTCTACAGATTGGTTTAAAAACAGTTAACCCCCCTGAGTCTAGTGCGCATCACATGTTGTTGCAGAATGCCTGTTTGATGGTCTCCTGTTAATGCTACTGGTAGATTATAAACCGACTGCATTTGATAGTGCAAGTTCATCTTCTTTATTTAATCTGTGTTTTGCCTTTGTTAGTGGCCTCTTTGGTAAGCTTCTCTAGGAACAGAAATTCTTCTATTCTCTCTCCTCTGTGATCTAGGTACCCAGTAGGTGTTGATAATTGCCTAGTTATTCTCAAAAAATTAATGTTTTGGATAATTTATAGCAGTCTGAAATCAAAACTCAGGAAACTGGCACTTCCTCTTATAAAATATTCTGTGTTGTTTCTGTTCTTCATGAATACTATTTTGGCGGATTAATTAAAGCCACAAAAACCTAATTTAATAGGTAATAATGATATGCTTCTCCTGCTCCTCTGTTCCCAAATCAAATAAGAACTTTCCTACATTTTACCTTCTGAGAACCAGCATGTTGTGCTCCTCCTCTTGGATATTCTTACCACATTTTCCTAACTGTGTCTGCATTTAGTCTAATCTGATAAGGAATTGCAATGTGTGATTATTATTAGTGAGCAAGTGTCAGTTTTATTTATGCCCCAGGGATGGGTAAGTCTGGACCTTCTGATGGTATTCACTCACTAGATAACAGTGAAACCAAAGTAATTTGTTGAGATTTTAAAAAAATTCTGTGTAACATTCATTTTTAGGATATTTCTTGAGAATTTTCTCAATTTTGATCATGGAGATAACAACCACTGTTTATTGCTATCCTGTTTTTCCTGGTTTTAAGTGTCTCATCAATGGAAATTAGAAATATTGTCTCCTCAGCTCTCTTGTAGAGTGGAATAGCCCTTTCCTCCCATCCCTGCTACATCTGAATCAAGCTGTGCTGGGAGGCGAGCCTAAATTAGGCTTAGAAAAGGGGATTAATTACAAGTAGTAGTCATGAATGTGTCTGCACATTGTTACACATTCTCACCTTTTTTATATTATTTATTTTTTTTTGAGGAAGATTGGCCCTGAGCTAGCATCTGTTGCCAATCTTCCTCTTTTTCTTTTTTCTCCCCAAAGCCCCAATACATAGTTGTATATCCTAGTTATAGGTCCTTTTGGTTCTTCTCTGTGGGATGCTGCCTCAGCATGGCTTGATGAGCGGTAAGTAGGTCTGCGCCCAGGATCCGAACTGGCGACCCCCGGGCTGCCGAAGTGGAATGAGAGAACTTAACCACTATGCCACCGGGTTGGTCCCATTCTCACCTTTTTAAAAAAAATTTAGCAACATACATTTTAAAAAGTTGCTGTGTACAAAGCACTATTCGTAGTGGAGAAGTAGGATTCAGATGTGGTTCCTGCCTTCAGAAGAACTTACCATCTCATATGGGACGTGGGCTCACACGCCAAGAAATGGAGCTCATAGAAGGCTTTGCTGGGGTAGGTTGGGTATGGCCTCTAAGTGTGAATGTGGCCTGTCCCTCTCCCAGGGTTCTGGTCTGGAACATTGGAGTTGAGTGGAAGAGGGGCTTCACCAAAGGCTGGAGTGTTAGCTCACTTGGTGCGGTGACCAGAGACATGCCAGTGGAGGGTCCTGCTTTTCTTTTACATTATGAGCACTTTTAAACACACACATAGATAGAAAGACGGATACAGTGAACACCCATATGTTCATCCCTCAGATTCACTAATTATCAAGACTTTGCTAAATTTTTTTCATACCATTTTATATTTTCTTGCTATTGTGTTTTAAAGCAAATTTCAAACTGTCATTTTAATCCTATGTACTTCAGTATGCATCTCCAAAAATATGGCCATTTTCTTGTATAACCACAATGCCACCATGAATCTAACAAAGTTAACAGTAGTTCCTTGGTATCATCTCACAGAGGATGTCACTTGGAAGACTCATTTTCGGCAGTGCTTGCCGTTTTTGGTGTCTTCACGGTTTTTTTTTTTTTTTTTGGTGAGGAAGATTGGCCCTGAGCTAACACATCTGTTGCCAGTCTTCCTCTTTTTTGCTGAGGAAGATTGGCTCTGAGCTAACATCTGTGCCCATCTTCCTCTATTTTGTATGTGGGATGCCACCACAGCATGGCTTGACGCGCGGTGTGTTGGTCCGCGCCCGTAATTCAAACTTGCGAACCCTGGGCCACCGAAGTGGAGTGCGTGAACTTAACCACTACACCGCTGGGCGAGCCCCATCTTCAAGGTTTTTGTTGACTTGGTTCCAATAAATCATTACCGTGGGTAATTCTGCATGATAGGCTTTTTCTGGATACTTTCTTTAACGGAAGAATCTGAGTGTGTTTAAGGAGTTGATACTGGTAACTTTACTCTCAGGCAGGTATCTCAGGCAGGTATTCCACTGAAACCAGTTTAATTACACTTGTGATAAAGCTGTGGAAAACTTCTCAGTTTGAATTTTGATTTAAAATATAGTCAGAAGGAGCTGTCTCTGTGACACACAGTATAATAGCATATTGGACTTCTAGCCCAGTCTGGTGTGGTTATTCAAAAAAATATATATACATGGGCCGGCCCTGTGGTGTAGCAGTTAAGTTCACATGCTCCGCTTTGGCAGCCAGGGGTTTGCAGATTTGGAACCCTGGGCGTGGACCTATGCACTGCTTGTCAAAGCCATGCTATGGCAGCGTACCAGTATAAAGTGGAGGAAGATGGGCACGGATGTTAGCCCAGGGCCAATCGTCCTCAGCAAAAAAGAGGAGGATTGGCAACAGGTGTTAGCTCAGGGCTGATCTTCCTCAAAAAAAAAAAAAAATATATATATATAGTCAGAAGGTATGATGGTGTTTGATACTCGAGACACAAAAAGAGCCAATCATAGTTGAGTTCTTATAGTTTTTGCCGTGCTGTTATGCTTTGATTCTTCTTACTCTTCCCTACTTCAACTATTTAACCACTGAAATGGAATCAATTTACACTCCTGAAACTACCAACAATACAGCCTTCTCCCTCCAATACATTGTGCACCCAATATGTGTGCATATCCCAACATATTCTGGGAACTAGGAGAAGAAGAGTGGGCAGACTGGGAGCCATGTAGATGCTTTCTTCTTTCCATCAGGGTCAGAGTAGATCTTTCACTTCCTGAGAGTTTAGACACAAATTCTTTATTTATTGTCTGATCCTGTGGATTTGTAATATTGATTTCTAACAGTATATTCACTGTAACTAAATGCTTTTATTGCAATAAATATTCGTTCACCAAATTAAAACCCATTATCTTCCCATGTTCCTCTCTCTGTGTTTCCTGTCTTGGTTAGTGGCATCGTTATCCTATCACACCAGAAATTCCGAGACTTTTCCCCTGATGCCTGCTACCAGTTGGTCATCTTTGCAGTAGCTCTGTTCACTTCATTCTAGGTTTCCAGCCCCAGTTCCAGATCTTTACCGCACATCTGAATCATTATGATTGCTTTCAATTTGCCTCAGTCTCTGTCAGTTGCTTTCCCTGCCAGTCCATCAGCTCCTTCCTGCTGGCTGCCATTCCAAAATAGAAACCTCCTCACACCACTCCTTTGCTCGCAAGCCTGTCAGCTTCTGCAGACTAAGAGCCAGCCTTCTTAGTGTGGCATTTGAAGTGCTGTGTGCCTCAGCTGCGCTGGACTATATGCCGATGCTTCATGGGCCCCGTACTTTTATTCTTCCCTGCGCTGCTCACATTGCCTGTTATCTGGAATGCTGATAAGTGATACAGGAGAGAGTCTAGCCCATGTGCTTTCATTTATTATACTGAATAGATAAAGATTGTGTGGAATCGGTTGTAAGGAAGTTTTGCTTGTTTCTTTTAGTTTTATCAAATCAGTGTGAGACTGTAGATCAAAAGTATTCTTGGATGCAGTTTCCAAAGTTCAGTACTCCAAGGATTTGGAGTCTTAATAGCAGTGCTAGTCACCTTTTCGATCATTTTCTCCCCTTGAATCTCCAAATTCTGTGTTTACCTTTGTTGTTTATTACTCTTTGCTTGTGGCAGGGAGGAGGAGGAAGATGTGAAAATAAAGGAAGTAGGTCTCAGGGAGAAGGAGAGAAACACCCTGATATAAGAGGTTATCAAACACCAGCTGTTTTGTGGTTTGTTAAGGAGGAAATACTACCAAAAAAAAAAAAAAGAGAGAGAGAACTTTTCATTTCGAAATAAGATTCTCTGTTACATTAACATCTTATACAATCTTTTTCAAAATGTAGAACTAACAAAGGGTGGGAATCTTTTCACTCGTCTTGGTAACTGTAATTTGTTGTTTTAATGAGGCATTTTGAGATTTACTTCTTTTTATTATTTAAAAAAATAATTATGTTTGTATGGACTTTTCAGAAAGTTATTATTCAAATGTTATTTCACATCTTTATTTATTTATTTTTAGACAAAAGAAGTTAGAAAAAGTGATGGAAGAAGAAGGCTTAAAAGATGAAGAGGTAATTAATATTGGAAAATTTTTCCTTGAAGCCCAGCATGGCAGATCACATCTTGTCCAGCAAGTTGTTAGCCTTGGTGCACAGAGGAAGGGTTTTGGCTCAGTGACAGAGGAACTTATGAGGGCTGGTGCACTTCTGGATTTAGGTATTCGTGCAGAGGGAGAAGTTAATTATTAAGTACCCGGGAGAGGAAGACTTTCCTAGGCATAGTTATAATAAATTAATTAGATTTAGAATTCCAGAAAAGGAAGAGATGAAATCAAATTAAAATTTAAAAAAGCAAAGTATAGTATACTTACAGAATTATCTGAAAAGGCTCCATAGAAGTGGGGCAGATTTCTGAAATCATCAAAGTAAAATATTTCTCAAATCAGCCCTTTCCCCCAATGCCCACTGATGTGGTAGGAGAACTATCGTTAACAAACTGTGCAAGGAACTTAAATGGCAGTGGAATGCTTTCAAAAATAGGAATGAATCACAGAACCCAGGAAAATGGTGAAAAATACCTAAGACTTGTAGGAATAATAGAAAGTTAGAGCATAAAATGAACTGCAGTGTGTAAAAAACCCGGAGGGAAATTTTAGAAAACACACTTTTATTTCATATAAAAAAAGTTAAAGGAAAATGTTGTTGATCGTTTATCCTTCCTTAGAAAAGTGAGAATAGTGCATTGCTGAAGTAGGTTAGTCCGAGTCCTCAGATGAGGCACCCATCTGTTCAGTGGGATTTGGTTATTGCGTCTGAAGGCTGGGAAGGGAGAAGTGACCTCTTAATGGTCCTTCTGTGGTGCTTCCGTGTGTGAAAAGATGATGCTTAGTCTGGTGTGGCCCTGCTTTCCAGATGGGTCAAATCACAAATATGACTTTCTTGCAGAGTTTCAGAATTTCAACTTCTCCCCTTCCCACTACTCCGCTTTTATTTAACCATTAGAAACGACTCAGGAGATCAGCACATGCTCGGAAGGAAACAGAGTTTCTTCGTTTGAAGAGAACAAGACTTGGATTGGAAGATTTTGAATCCTTAAAAGTAATAGGCAGAGGAGCATTTGGTGAGGTAAAAAGCCACAGCTACTTAGCAAATACAAAATACCACAGAACTTGGAAGCTTCTAACATACCGTGAGCTCACGATTGTTAATATAGCTGAAATATGGGGTGGGTGGGTCAAGCATGCCAGCCCCGTGTCTTAACTGCTCTGTCTGCCTTCCTTCTCTCTCTCTTCCCTTCTCCACTGTCCCAGATCTCTGAATCTTCTTCTGTTTTTTGCCAGAGATGATGTTGAGTCTTTAAGTATTGATCTAGAGGGAGAGTTGAAAGGTAGAAGGAAATTTTTATTTATTATTTACTGACTGCTTCTCTCCTATAATCATGACAATAACTCATTTTATAGACGATGAAATTGAGACTCAGAGGGGATAGATATAATGCTCCAGTGTCACGCAGCCATTGGGCAGTGGTACAGGAGTTGGGCCAAGGTCTTCTTGATCTGAAAGCGCTTGCTTTTGCTAGTACCACACGGTGTCTCCATGAGCAAACAACGTATCTCCACCCTTTATTCCTTCCCACCAGATTGGTACAGCTCTAAAAAGATGGCATTAGGAGACAGAATATATAGAAATGAGTTATATAGATGGTGGTAGAGAGTTGAAAGCATTTGCAACTCTGTCCCAGCTGGTCTTGCACATACACCCTGCTCAGTCACAAGAGGAACCTGTTGGAGAGGGTTTGAATGAGCCCATGCAAGGTCATCGCCATTAATGGAAAAAACGCAAAGTGGATGACCTACTGATGCAATAGTTTCCTTATCTTTGTATAAAAGGAGCAACGTATTATTAAAAACCAGTACCTAGGGGAAATGTGAGTACGTATTCAAAGGCACTGGTGCAATATTAAATTGATCCCTCAGTCTTTAGAATCCCTGTTGGCCCCTTGAGAGAGGGAAAGGTACAGTAGTGCCTCTAAAAGAGTTTTCTGTTCAGTGAGGAAGGGGCGTGGGACTCAATTGGGAAAAACATGAAGAAAGGTGCCGGGAGAAGCAGACAGACGTATCGGGAGAGGAGGAGGAGGATGTGCAGGGAATCGCCAAGAAGTTTTTCTTTGGAGGTGTAGACCATTAATTTTCTTTTCATCGTAAAATTATCGTTCTCTCTAAAAACATTGGAAAATAAGAAAGAGAAAGGAAAACTACATAAACTCCCATTTCCCTAAATATATATTTTAGGCTTTTTTCCTTCCACACATTTTTCCTATGTGTGAACTTTTGCTATTGTTTTAAACATTGTTGTAATCATTTCCTTAGGTTTTCTGAGCTGACTGGATGACATGTGCCATGGGTGTAATGAGTCCTTAAGCTTGATAGAGTTTTAAATTAGATTGGTTTGTTCAGCTAGAGAGCCAAAGCTGTTCAGATGTGGAGACACTTGAGGATGTTTCTAGCACTGACTTCATTGTGTGTAATATATCCATTTTGGAATATTGAAAGGCATTTTCTTCTGCTTTGTTATTGCTAGTTGCTTATATTAAAATTGTAATACTTTTTCAGTTTAAATATTCCTATAACACATGAACACATGAGCTGGGCCTTGTGAACTTTTGACTTGGCATTTCTTTTATAACTTTTAGGTGCGGCTTGTTCAGAAGAAAGATACAGGGCATGTGTATGCAATGAAAATACTCCGCAAAGCAGATATGCTTGAAAAAGAGCAGGTAAAGCAGGTGTAGCAGTTACTTTAGTCAGCTTAGGAATTGTTTGTTTCCTAAAACTGTTCTTTTTGCTTAGTTGAAATGTGTATTCTTACTACAGTTTTCTTTAGCTCTGTCACATGTGAATATACGTATAATGCTACTTTTCTTTCCCCAACAAAGAAGCGGTTACATACATTTTAAAAGTTCAAATAATGCCTGTACGTTATGTGCAGTCTTCTCAAAGTTGAAAGCCTATTAGAGAAGCATCTGCTGTTTGTGTCTCCCAGTTGATCACAACGTGTTCTTGTCATGAGGAGCTTTTTCCGGAAGTCATACTTGCTGTGGTAGTGTGTTCCTTACTGAATGCTGAGAGAGGGAAATTGTATATAGACCTTGGAACTGAGGCTTAGGAATTAGCATTTGGAATTTCCAATCTAAAATGTATCTTAATATGCTTCATTCTGTACACTCGAACTCAAGTTGGGTCTTCTGAGTAGTCCATCACTACCTAAAAGAGACCAGTCTTCTTTCTGAATGAATTTGAAAACATATAATGCAAATGGCAGAGCAATGCAAATTCTCCTTTAATGATTAAGAACACTTTCTAAAACCTGAGCCTACTTTGCAAATAGATTTATAAGATGGGTAAGTACTTTATGCAAAATTAGTAAGATTTTAAATATTGGACAGTGTATTAAAAACAAAATGCAGACTTTCTTTAAATCTAGTTTAATTTAGCTGGTTGCTTAAGAACAGATTGTAGTGGATGACTCCTGCAAATATCCTGTGAAAGATGAGGAGGGCAAAGAGAGGCCTGTGGCCAGGAGAGCTCCAGATGTAGAGCACAAGAGCGGGGATGGAGACTGGCCCCGCACCCAATCCTCTGCCTCTTGAGAGGAGGTGTATAATCACTCAGGCTTCTCTGCCCTTCATTTAAGTGCCAGCTCAAAATTAGGAATTTTTATTTTCTCCTTAATTTTCATACACTACCCAGAAGCTTTAGATTCCCAGGCATTTCGGTTGACAGTATCAAATACCCTGGCAGTAAACCTTCAGACACTATAGTTTATGCTAACACCAGCCTTATTCAAAATGCACAACAGCCCTATTTGTGTATTATCTAAAAATTAGTGTCTGGTCTTGGTGTAGGCACTGAAATAGTTTTGGTTAATCTTGAAAAGGAAAATGTAAAACCATATTGATTAGACAGTATATTTTGTATTTCACAAATAAGTTTTATTTTTACTAGACATCTTTCCTATACTTTTAACCAAGGCTCAAGACCTTTATCAAATAATTAGCATTCAGAATAAAATTGTAAAGAGAAGTACACACCATGACTTTTACTTATTCATCCTTCATAGCATGGGCTGTTTGCCTAGCATGGTAGCAGAGGATGACCCAAACATATTGTGTAAAAACATTTTCTCAAATATTGTTCCTTCTTCAAAATCAATTCCTAAAATTTTTCTACACGAAAGTAAAGGAAATGTCTGTTAGAATTAGGATTTTAAATGCATTAAATTCATTGTTAGCTTACCTTGCTGATGGACTCAACTCCCTAGGTTTGATCTCAGTGTGGTCTAGTTAAAGTTTCTGGCCACAGAGCTCTGCCTGGGTCAGCCGTCTTGAAGAAGCCTGCAGCAGGTTCATGCTAGGTGCAAGTGGAAGTAGACCAGTACAAATCAGTCACTTTTGGCTAGGGCTGACAAAGTTTAGATTCAGAGGCTCACTTTTTGTAGGTATAGGTGCCTTATCCAGAGGAAAAGTTTTTTGTTTGCTTTTACTAAACTGAGCAGGAATTAAAGCTACCCACTGAGAGTTCAGGTTGTTATTCTGTCCCACAGGGTGGAAATTTCTGCTACCTGGAAAATAAATTTTAAAGGATAAGAGACCAGCATTTAGCTGCTTTCTTCATGTATCTCTTCCAGTGCAAAAGGAAAACCTCCAATTGTGATGCCAGTGTAGTCTTAGGATGGAGCAGAAGACTGACTTTATGTCTGCTTTCCTAGTGCCCGGGATAGCAACTAGCACATAATTCCCCATGCCATTAAATATTTATGGAACAGGGAAGGGGAACCTCTGGTGTGGGCTGCACCTCTGGCTCTTCCCTCCCTTACCCTGTATGCACCTGGCTCCACTCCTAGATCTTGAGGTTCCTGGCTGCTGTTTCAGCTCCAGGAGAGAAAGGCAAGGTGTGCTCACGGTGACTGTAGCTTTCCTCTGGACAAATCAGGGAATGTTGCAGTCGCCATTCTGTCCTCTAAGGTGAGTGACAAGTGGTAAGAGTAGTGTGCTTTTCTCTGGCTCCCTGCGGTAGATAGAGGCCTTAACAGGAGCCAGGGGAAGCAGAGGCAGGTGAAGGCTGCCTTGTACAGTCTTCGTGTCTGGTAATGACTGGATCATAGCTACGGCTGCAGTTCAGCAAGTGGCATTAGTATTTCCCAAAAGCTTTGCTTCTGTATTAAAGCCAAGTAAAGGCAGATGCATTATTCAGCTTCTTCATGATTTCATAGCACTATTCCTTATCACCCTTAGCTTCCATTTTTCCCACCCTCATACTGTAAGTAGAGATGTAAAAATGTAAGTTTTATGCCACATTGAGGCTATTTAAAAATATACCAAAGAAAAATTTTAGTAGAGACTGAAAACTCAAATATGTATACTGAAATGCCTTCAGGCCCATGGGAGTTAGCATGCAAGAATGGGGCAGTGTAGATGTAAGACAGGAGAGAGGGGTGGGGTTCTGTGTCCATATGGAAGAGAAAGTGCCTGGCTTTCAATAAAGACATTCCAATAAAACAAACAAGCATGCAGAACATTGTATCAAACAAGACAACAACCACGGGCTGAGTTTGCCAACAGAAGTACCAATTTGTGAACCTTGTTACATCCTCACCTCTGCCCATACTGTAGAACTCAAGCCCTGTAGTGGGTGTAAAGACCAAAACCTCTGTTAAGGACTGGACTGGGTCTTAATAAATTTAGACCTCATTCAACCCGGCTTTGCGTCTTGTGACATTTGTATAAGAGGAGAGGGGGCAGGATTTGATAATATGCAGCAGTGTTTTGATGACTATTATTTATTTAAAGTAGATAAGGTAAATTTGATAATAAAACATTTTAATGAAGTAATTCTACCAGTTCTCCCAAACCTTCGGCAACTTGATCTCCTTAGCTAGATGTTTCAGTAAAAGTAGAAAACTGGAAATGTCATAAATTTGAATCTATAACTTTTCTTAGGTCTTCTTATATTTTAATTCAGTAAGAATTGATTGAGTACACATTCTAGAATTGTCAGCCAGGGCACCATCATCACAGATATCATTGCAGACATGAACAGGACTTGTTGAGAGAGTCTCATCTTGAGGACTTATTTTTATCATAAAAGATTATTAGAACAAAAGATATGCAAAAGAATGGTGATTCTAACTAATCAGAGGTTCAATTTATAGCACTGTTACAGTTGCCGTTTGCATTCAGACCATTCATTTTGCCATTTTTAAAGCCTTTCATCATTGAAGTTTTTATCACTGAACACCTTCAAGTCAAATGTTGTCAATTTTGAGTTAGCAGGTTTGTCTAAGTATAAATTAGATCTTTTGCATCACCACAATTTGTTACTCAAAACAGTATTTAAATTGTTTAAACAAATATTCAGTCTCAGAGCAAGGCTTGTCATTAATCAAATGCGTATACCTCCAGGTTGGCCACATTCGTGCGGAGCGTGACATTCTAGTGGAGGCAGACAGTTTGTGGGTTGTGAAAATGTTCTATAGTTTTCAGGATAAGCTAAACCTCTACCTAATCATGGAGTTCCTGCCTGGAGGTAATTACTTGACGATGAAAGGTCATTTTTCCTTTTTGTTCTGTGGTTTCTCTTTCACATCAATTAACCCTCCTTTCTACTTTTAATCGTGCTCACAAAGTTGCTTTCTGTATCTTTTTTAGGTCTGTAAAGGAGGTCAGTAACCTGTTTTGTGCTGAGGTGCCTTTCCACAATTCTTAGTGCTGTGAAAGTAACCTTCTCATTCATTCTCATGATTTCAGATGGTCATTTCTTTCTTTCTTTTCTTTTTCTTTTTAAATGTATAGGAATAAGACTAGGGACTCTGCCTGCTCTCCTGTCAGTGGGAATCATGTATAGTCAGTTACCCAAGTGACAAAATTGAAGCTATGATGTTCTTTGCTTCAACGTTTTTGTTTCTTTTTCTATAACTTATATTAATAAGGAATGGATTTCTCATTACCTATATTAGTAGCCAGAGTTGTGTCTCATTTCTGAGATTTCAAGTTTTATGTAACTCAGCATGTGCATCTCCTAAGCACAGCTGCAAAGAAAACCTAGATCAGAACATACCATCTGTTCTGGGAACACAGTCTGTTTCCCAGTGAGCGGATGAACCGTGAGCAAACATTGGTGGGAAAAAAAGAATACTTTTTCTTTTTTGTTTCTATAGCAAAGCAAATATAATTGTGGCGTAATATTTTGATCTTGTGACAACCTTTAGTTTAGATCTAGGGTCATCAATAATTTTTTATTAACAATTGATGGAAGTTAGAAAAAAGTCTGTCTAGTAGAATGAGGAGAAACTTTTTAACATTTAAATACTAGTTCTTAATTAGGAGTTAGAACCAGCTCAGTCACCAGCCCCTTGACATGTGTCTCCTCAAACCTTACATGCACCATCTTCCATAGCTTCTCATGTCTCCTGGACCCTGCCCTTTGCACTCGGTGGAGCTGGCCTGCCGAGCCATATACCATCTGGCCTGAGCTCTCTGAACATCTGGGCAAGCTCGCACAGGTGAGGCCATTGGCTGCTCTCCTGGGCCACAGCGCTAAGACCACACAGCTACCTTAGAGCCGGCCTGAGTGCACCACCCCTGTGACTCTGGTGTGCCTCCAGATTGAATATGTGGCTTCCAGGAATGATTATAGAATCATATTTTTCAAGTCTTGAGTCAAAACAGAGAGCATTTTAATAAATGGTTTAGTGTTTGCCTGAAGGTAAAGTATCCACTTTTCTCTAAGAATACAAAAATTCCCCCAAAATTACAAATGAAATGAAATTCAAAAAGAAGCATGAGGCTCTACTAAAATCAGAGGTTTCTTTCTCTTTTCCTTGTTTTCTAACATAAACGGCTTTATATGAAATCTAAACTGAATCTTTCCTATTTGTCTTAGCTTTAAACTACTTACACATATTTTCTTTGCTTTGCTTTTGTCTAACCATTGAGTTAGGATCAGAATTTTTTTCACCATTTTATGTTGCTGGTATTAAGCAGAAATAATAAATTTTGACTCTGCAGAAAACTAAGGAGGTTACCTTTTAACTGCTAAAATACTGGTATTGTGTTGTAAAAGTTGCATAAAGTATCTTGGTGTGTATTTAAATACCTGTAACAAAACACTGGAGAGAAAAACCCCACTGATCTTGGGAGGTGTCCAGTGTGCGCTTTTGGGAGGCAGCTATCACACATTCCAGTATGTAGCATTGTCACTTCCTTTGTAGCTTTCGTTGACTAACCCTTTTCTACCTAAATCCCACCTTTTTATTTGTTTATATTCTAGTGTTTTGTGAGTAGAAATCGGAGAGCTTGTTTTTAGCCTTCCCAAATGTTGACGTTTTTGTTTGGCACGTCAGCCTCTCTCTACAATGGCAGTACGACCTGTGTGACAGCCCTTTGGTTCTAGGTGTAGAGAAGTTTGCAGATATTTGTACAGACAAAGTGAAAAGTAAAATAGTCTTTTTTCCACAAGCAAAAAATTATCCTAAACAAATTTACTTTTTTTTTTTTTTTTTAGCGTGAGAGAAATTTCCTTTTTCTCTCCAGAGTAAAATGGAAATCACAGCTTAGTGGTCAGCATCAGTTAGGTTAGGTGAAAGTGCTTTGCTCTTCGTGACTGTGAATTTTACCTTTTAAGTGTTAGAAACTACTTAGCGTTTCCACCCATATTGGCAGTGTGGGTCACTCTCTGGAGCTGTTTAGCATTGCCTTATATTGGCAGATAGGGAAGACATATTTGAAAATTTGAAAACTGGCACTTATTCATGTGTTGTTTTGTGTGTGTGTGTATGTGTGTGTGGTGGGTTTGTATCTTGTTTCCAGGGGACATGATGACCCTATTGATGAAAAAAGACACCCTGACGGAAGAAGAGACTCAGTTTTATATAGCAGAAACAGTGTTAGCCATAGACTCCATTCACCAGCTTGGATTCATCCATAGAGACATCAAACCAGACAACCTTCTCCTGGACAGCAAGGTACTGGGGGGGGTAGTGGCATGACCAGTGTGTATTTACGGATCTGAGCAGCCTCTGCTTTAACACCTGTATTGCTTGTGGTAATCACAGTAGGGGAGCCGTGAACTACCTTGTATATTTTTCTCTTTTTTTACAGGTAAGTTTGTTGTTACTTCCTTTCTCTGAAAGGCTTATGATTCTGTAATTTGAATGTTCCTCTTAAAAACAAAGGACATTTTTGAAAATGATTCAGAGTAAAATTGATTTAGGTTATTTTGTAATAAAGCCAAAGATAATCATCTTCTCTTAGCGTATAATTGACTATCCTAATGCAGCACCTGTGGAGAAGCTCTCTATTGCTCAGCCTCATCAGTTGAGGAGGAATCTAGCCAAGAACCAGGAATTGAGGAAAAACAACAACAATCTGTCACAAAGTTCAGGTTCCAAATCAAATGCCCTCTGCTTAAAGAAGAGTCCTGCTCAACCTCTTTAATGGCTTCTTTTTTTTTTTTTTTTGGTGAGGAAGATCAGCCCTGAGCTAACATCCATGCCAATCCTCCTCTTTTTGCTGAGGAAGACCGGCCCTGGGCTAACATCCGTGCCCATCTTCCTCCACTTTATGTGAGACGCCACCACAGCATGGCCTGGCAAGTGGTGCGTCGGTGTGCACCTGGGATCCGAACCTGGGCCGCCAGCAGCAGAGCGCTCGCACTTAACCACCACACCAGGGGCTGGCCCGTTTAATGACTTCTTTATATTTCTCTTTCGACATGCACATGAGCTTAGTTCCTTGGTTCTTAAGCTCACAGCAAATTAGAAGAGAATCCTTGTGCTGCTACACTGCTGGATACCCCTTGGCAAGTCTCTCCACCATCTGGACCTTGCTTATCTATAAAGTGAATATATGTATTGATCCAGAGAGGCTCCAAAGTCCCTTCCAGCTCTAAAATTCTAGAATGTTCTATTCTACACAGGATTGTTTTGACTGAATTTTTCTTTTAAGTGGAAAAGTAAATTTAATTCCTAGGGTATTTTTCTTTGTTGCTGTCTTTTGATGACATTCTTGCCATTTTGAAAAACCTGAAGTTTTGATTTACTTTCTTTGAAAACCTTTATCTTTCTATTTCAAGAGATTGGGAGCTTTGTCAGATAATTTCTTTTGGTTAATAGCTTTTTTTTTCATTATAAGAATAATGCACATACATAATAGAGAATTTGAACAATACAGAGAGTTATAAAGAAGAAAAATAGAGACCTGGTGGCGTAGTGGTTAAATTTGCGCACTTTGCTTTGGTGGCCCGGGGTTCGCAGGTTCGGATCCCTGGTGTGGACCCCTGGTGTGGACCTATGCACCACTCATCAAGCCATGCTGTGGCAGCATCCCACATACAAAATAAAGGAGGATGGGCACAGATTTTAGCTCAGGGCCAATCTTCCTCAGCAAAAAAAGAAGAAGAAAAATACCTATAATCTCATTCTTCAAAGATAACCACTGTTTTGGTATAATAGCTTCAATATCTTTTCTATTTGTGTCAATAATTTATATACAGTTAACATCCTAAAAGTAAATAGCTTGGTATTCTGCTTTTAAAATGTTGATGTATATGACATTGAGTCATTAAGTTCAGATACATTTTCAATAAAGCACTGGCTCTGCTTCATGTGGTCAGATGCCCTGGTCATGTACCCCAGGTGTATCATTGCTGGCTTAGTTGTACCCTGTAGTCTAGGTTCAGGTCCAGCAAACATATTGAAGGCCAAGAACTTGACTCAATCTAGCTGAGGAGTGGGGAACCCTGTTAGGTGTAGATTTGTACATATGCTAGCCCAGACTTGTAGAAAAATGTTCTCACAAGTGAGCTCATTTATGTGTTCAGCTATATAGATTGCAGAAATGAAAACGTAGAAGTTTTGAGTTCCTGCTGTACGCTCAGAATAAAGCTACAGAATTCCCTGACAATCTAGGCTTGAATAGCATTGGCTCTAGGCACTGCTTTTTAAGACACACTTCTTTCTTAGAAGTATCCAGGTAAAACATGTAATTATGAGAACTGTAAATTAAACTCTGTTGCTTAGTTTGTGGAACAAGTTATTTACAAATCTGAAAAAAAAATACCAGGTTAGTAGGCTCAAAGCTGTCTTTGGCAGTTTACCTTGTTGCACACACACATGCACGCACACACGCACATACACACACACACACACTCACACATAGCAAATCTAATGGGATTTCTTTAAAAACAAAACAAAATAATACCTGACCCACCTGAGCAGAGCTTCTGTAGCCTTGTACCCTGGGAGGTTTGTATGTTAAGCCCTGAGGATGTCCTGAAGGAAGATGGGATCATGGAAAGACCACAGATGTTGAAGTCATTGAGACTCAAACCTTGGCCACACTATTTCTAATTGTGTGACCTTGAGCAGTATAGATCATCGGGATTCGCTCCTCTATTTTTGGTTTTACTTCCTTATCTACTTAAAATTTCACCACCCCAGAAACACCTACCTCTTCCTTAGGGCTGGTTATGTGCCAAGCACCAGGTTAGGAGCCTTAACATGCATTAATTCTCATCATTCCTGCCAGGAAGATACCATTATCCCCATTTTCCAGATGAGATCAGGGTGTTGGAGAGGTTAGATGTAATCCTGGTCTGGGGAGAAAGAATATGGATTGATTTCTGGCTTTGGTTCTGCTGTTTCACCAGCAAGCCATTTAATGACTTGGAGCCTGTGAAGTGTGGCTTAAGAGTTAGAAGTGAAACAACATATTTAAAGCATGGTGCCTGGCTCATAGGAGGTATGAGTTTTCCTTCAAGAGAGTGATAAAGTTAGAGACTTATGATTGGAATACAGTTTGACAACATTTATCAAGAACTGCGTTGGGCTGGCCCCGTGGCTTAGCGGTTAAGTGCGCACGCTCCGCTACTGGTGGCCTGGGTTCGGATCCCGGGCGCACACCAACACACTGCTTCTCCGGCCATGCTGAGGCTGCGTCCCACATACAGCAACTAGAAGGATGTGCAGCTATGACATACAACTATCCACTGGGGCTTTGGGGGGAAAAAATGAATAAATAAAATCTTTAAAAAAAAAAAAAAAAGAACTGTGCAATTAAGTTTATTCCCTTTGTCTTTGAAATAATTTACTGCTTGGAATTTATCCTAATGAAATAATTCAAGAGAAGAAGCTATCTATATGAACAAAGATTTGTTCCTCTCTGTCAGGCCCTCTCAGTCACAGGGGTGCTCATAATCCACATTACATGAGAGTGAAGAATCAGAAATGGAGTAAGCATCCAGTATTAGGGGGATGGTTAGATAAACAATGATGTACTAAGTCATTTGAATTTTATGTAGACATTAAAAATGGTAATTTTGAAGACCATATAGAAACACAGAGAAATATTTGATTGAGTTAGTTTAAGAAGTAGTAAGAGCTAGCCCTGATGGCCTGGTGCTTAAAGTTCGGCACTCTCACTGCTTCGGTGGCTCAGGTTCATTTCCCAGTCAGGGAACCACACCACCTGTCTGTCAGTTGCTGTGCTATGGGGGTGCCTCACACAGAAGAACTAGAATGACTTACAACTAGGATACACAGCCATGTGTGGGGGCTTTGGGGAGGGGAAAAAAAGTAGTAAAATTAGCTTTACATGCTATGGAGGATTCAACTATGTTTAAAAGTTTATATTTGGACAAAAACAGATAAAATGCAAAAATGAAAATACTTTTATTAGTATAGTAGGATTTGGGGTGATCTTTTAAAAATTTATTTGCTGTTATATGTATTTCCTTGTAATAAAAGAAAAAAAGGCAGCATACTTTGGCTTGGAGCTGTAATGGATACTGCAAGGAGCTGGAGAAGATAATGTTCTGTTCAGTATCAGTGAATGTTCATCCATTCTGTTACCTTGTTTCTTCTTCCCTATAGGGCCATGTGAAACTTTCTGACTTTGGCCTTTGCACAGGACTGAAAAAAGCACATAGGACAGAATTTTATAGGAATCTGAACCACAGCCTCCCAAGTGATTTCAGTAAGTGTTAACAGTGATGTAGCCTTTTTATCCCTTAACTGGGCCGAGAAGAGCTGTTCCCCTGGTAACCAAAATAAGCAGGACAGATTAGGAGATTCTCACAGCATGAGTCTTCAGAGAATAAAAATACTTTCCTTGCGATCTGTATTGTATGGTGAGGCAAGATGAGTGTTACCAAGTGTGTTAAGGCAGATATCAAAAAGAGCTTTCTTTGGAGCTCTGCTGAGAGGGTTACTGGGGATGAATATGGGGCAGGCAAGCAAAAGTAGGAGAGGAAGAAGTCCTGGGAACAACTCCAGATTAGATTTATCCTAGGTGCTTCTTTCTGTCGTGGCAGAAAGAAATTTATCTTTTTGAGTGTTCTTTCGCTGAAGCACTGTCAAACCCTTGAAACTGTGTAGTAAAATTGCAGTTCATCCTAGAGAAGCTTGTGTCAAATATGTATTATAAATTCAGAAGCCTCTGATTATGTAACAGTTACTACTCTTGGAAGTTTGATGGTAATTTTGAGAGATTGTGAATGTTTTAGGTCCACTTTGGGACCTTGGCTTCTGATGAGACTGAATTCCCAGTGATTCTGAGGAAGGCCTGCCTGTCTGTATCCTCTCTGGCTGCATGATCCACGTGGAAGTGCTGCCTACAACTCTCATTGTGTGATGCTTTGAGTTAATGCTTTAGAGCCTCTGATTTGGGTTTATAGACTTGCTGGAAATGTGTCATCTAGAGTTATTGCTGTATGGGCAGAAAAGCAAGACTTTTAGGGTCTTGTGTGGCTTGAACCAGAACCTAAAAAAGTAGTAAACATTCCTGTCTGAACTTTGATTAGAACTTGGTTTCTCTACTTTTAGCTTTCCAGAACATGAATTCCAAAAGGAAAGCAGAAACCTGGAAAAGAAATAGACGTCAGCTAGTAAGTAATATCTGTGGCTTCTTAAATGCTACAAACTAAGTATGAATAAGTTCAAAAAATATGCACATAAATTTTCATTTGATAAATGTTTGCATCATATCTATCCCTTGCTTTTAAGGTTACCTTAATAGAGCACTGTCAATATGTCAATAACACCAAAAGTAATCTTCTGAAGGAGAGCAGATAATGTTAGGTTGTTTTGGTTGTGACATTTTCAGTGGATGACCTCATTCTGACCTTTCACATTGGTGACAACCCCCTTTCTTCCTGTTCCATCTTTTCCCTATTTTTTGGGTTGTAAGGATGTTACGTCTAAGCTGGAGTTTTCTTAAAATGAAACTATTACAAATACCTACCCAGAGCTTTAAGAGCAGTGGTTCTCAAACTTTTAAAATTTTGATTCACTTAGGGAAGTCAAGACTCCTCAATTTACCTGCCCCACCCTTTCCTACTTTGTGGTAGAAAAAAGAACTTGGTGATAAAAATTGGAGAAAAATTTAAGGGGAATGTTATTATTTACTTTATAAGTATTTGAGTATATACACATAAAATTATGCCCCACAAGCTTAAAAATAAGTAACATTATTGCGTTTACCTTGATAGTATGTTGCAAGTTATTTAAATAGTACAAATTCACCAGTGAAATATTGCCTTCTAGGCAAACTTTTATTCTGATTCATTGGTTCATATTTGAAGTGCAATGTACATGTCCCAGTGTCTAGTTATTGGGAAATTATTGACCAGAGATAATAAAAATGTGTATCACTATCTACTTAGGCTTTGCTAGAAACCCATAGCAAATGAAATTGATCATGGTAAAGCTGAACTAACATTTGGTCATTAGAAAGCAAGAATAGCAGCAGTGGAAAACTATGACTAACTTGGAATGATGATCATGCACATGCATTATCTGGAAAGGGGGGCACTTTTTTTTTTTTTTTTTTGTGAGGAGATCAGCCCTGTGCTAACATCTGCCGATCGTCCTCTTTTTTTTGCTGAGGAAGACTGGCCCTGGGCTAACATCCGTGCCCATCTTCCTCCACTTTATATGGGACGCTGCCATAGCATGGCTTGCCAAGCAGTGCGTCGGTGCGCGCCCGGGATCCAAACCAGCGAACCCTGGGCCGCTGCAGCAGAGCACGTGCACTTAACCGCTTGCACCACCGGGCTGGCCCAAGGGTGGCACTTCTGCTTGTCAGTGTATACAAAAGTAACTTGGCTGGTTTGCTAAATATTGTGTTTTGGCCAGACTCTTAGTAAAATACTGAATTAGAGTTTTCTGTAGTATTCTTAATAACTCATTTATAGATTGCTAGTAAATAGCTGTCAGTCATTTGTGAAAATGGAAGCCTGTAGGATTGTTTAAGAAAGAATCAAAGGAAAGGCTTACATTTTTTTGATTATTTGAGGCCCATTGGTGGGCCTTAGACCAGGCTTTGAGTATTATGATTTTTACGTTAAACCTGGGCCCTGAGAGAGACATTAACTTAAACCAAACACTTTTGGAGATGCAGTAACTGAAATTAATCTTTGATATCTTTTTCTAATATTAACTTGGGGCTACTTAAGTTTGGTATAGTCATCTCATAGTCTTCTTCCCTTAAGAACTCTAATACTCTTTAAATGTCTAAATTCTGTATGTGGTTGAAAAACTGTTTACATAGCTTGTTGATGGTTAGAGAATGTCAGGAACAAATGTGGTCAGATGTTTCTATTATGTCTCTTCCTAGACAGTAGATCTTAACTTTGGCTGCACATTGGAATCACTTAGGGAACTTCAGAATATGCCGATGCCTGGGTCCCAACCCCAAAGATTCTGATTGAGTTAGTTTGGGGTATATAGTCTGGGTATCTGATTTTTAAAAGGACTCTGGGTGATTCTACTGTGCACTGAAGGTTGAGACCTTCGACCGAAGAGACTATTTCTTAAACAATAGCTCTTGCATTATTGAGAAACTCATGTTAACCTATGTTTTGGAAGCTAACAAAAGGTAAGGAATCTTCTGTGGTCTTTTGTTTTTTTAAAGCAAGCCAAGATTTAACCTTTGGCCACTGTGCTGATATTTATTTTTGAGGTAATCAAGCTTAAATACCTTAAATTATCCTTATACTCTGAGATAAGCTTTATGCTCTTTGACATGCACCAACGGGTCATATCAGATTTACTGGGAACCACTTATACGTCTTAGAGGAAGGAGATTTCACAGTTTCCGTATTTGGAGTTAAATGTCCTTTAATAGTTTAAAATGTTTTTTAAAAAAATCTGAATAAACGGAGGTTCTCATGCTGTGATTAAGGTACTTGCCTTTTTATTCTGTCTACAGTAGAAATGGAAAAGTAGTAAGGTCATCCTCATACTACCTCTTTTGATAACTTGAAGAAAATAAAGTGACCTCTCAGTCTTCAAAAGGTCAATTAGTCCTGTGCTTTTGACCTTTCGTAAATGATCCCGTTCAGCTAGTACCGAGTGGAAGGTTAATATTAGTTAATGCTTAATAAAAAATTTACTGCTCTAGGTTAAGCCTAACGTATGTCATTGCTCACTGAGCTTGTTACTTTTCAGTCCATTGAGAATCACTGAAAAAAGTAGAGGCTTTAGCTTCGCTCCTTGGCTGCTTAAATCATATCGTAATGTTTTAAAGAGCTGTTTGCTTCTAGGTAACCTTAGGCCCCAGTAACTGATTAAGAAATAGGTATGAGTCAGCTTGAAGTTATTAAACCACAGAGGTAAGAGATGAAGTACATCTATCTTTGTCAGTTTATTTTTTTTAGTGTAGGATTTATGGAAATGATTTAGTAGGAAATTAAATTGCTTTATTTCCCCTAAAATCCTAAACGAAATCGTAAGTTGGGACACATCATGTGTTTGAAATGACTATTAACAACCAACAAAGCTCTTTTAGAGTGCAGCTCTAACTGACACAATAAATACCCAGACGACAAAGGGAAAAAGAAGGATACAGATTTGAGGTGTTAGGAGCTTGGAGTTAGAAGACACACGGATATGGAAAACAGACAAAAGTTTGGGCAGGGGCAGTCCCTAGATTAGAAATAGCTACTACCTGGTACTACCAGTGCAGGAAAATGAGAGTGAGTTCCTAAGGTGGGACTCTGGTTCCCAGAGTGAAAACATTACCTTATTTCACAGATTTGAGCCTGCTGTTGGCTGTAATTTATAACGCCCAGAGTTTTTTAACATTTTAGAATCTTGGAGGAATTACTTTCCTTTGGTAGGAGATCTCTGGTTTTATAATAAAAATCTTTGAATCAGTAAGATTTACTTAACATTCAGCTTGGCTGGAATAAATCTAGTCTCTAAATTGAATGGTTTTGTAGTTTCTTAATCTTTATAATTAGAATGAAAATACTTCTGTTCCTTGGGGAGGTCCCAATCCATGTTTCAGACTTTAAAGCTTTACAAAAAACAACAATTGGCATTTATGTTATTTAATATATGTATTTAAAAGAAAATAATGTACAATTATCTATATGGAAAAAATGGATTCCTACATTACAGTATGCATAGAAATAAATTGTAGACGGAAAATAAAACTAAAAATTTTAGAAGAAAATACAGGGCAATATTTTTATGACCTCAGAGTAAGGAAGGAGTTCTTGAATAAGATACAAGAAGTACAAATCAAAAAGGAAAATTTGATTTATTTTACTATTTTAAAGGAGGAAAAAACCCTTCTGTATATTGAAAGACATAAACAAATGAAAAGACAAGCCACATGGTCCAACTACTTTGGAATTATCTTACAGTTCATGTGGAGGCTCTACCACCCGGCAATTCTGCCCCTAGTCATGTCCTGGAGAAATTCTTGCACCTGGGAATCAAGAGAAATGCATAACAATGTTTATTGCATTTTTATAATAGCAAAAAACTGGAAATAACCCATTGTCCATTGAAAGGAAAATGGTTACATTCTGGAATAGAATATTTTAGAGCAGTGAAAATAATTCAACTCCAGCTACATGTGACATCATGGATCAATTTTAGAAACAAAACATTGAGAGGAGAAATCAAATAGCAGAAGACTGCATGTAGAATGATACTCTTCTTACAAAGCTCAAAACCAAAGGTAAATAAGATCTCATTTAGAGAGCCACATGTGGCACAATTAAATCCTTTTTTAAGTTGGGGAGAGTACATATTTAGCTTTAATGACACTGGTAATATTTCAGTTCTTCAGTTGAACTCATGGGTATCCATTTTCGCTATTATGCTTCATAATTTGATAATTACATGTTTTTTGTTATGTGACAAATATTACATCATTTAAAAAGTCATAATAAAAATGATAAGCCTCAGACTGGGAGAAGATACTTAAACTATGTAAAACTATAAAGGATTAATGTCCTAAATCAGGATTAATGCCCTGGATTCATAAAAAATTCTTATGAATCAATAAGAAAAAAGATAATGCAACAAAAAAAACTAATGGGCAAAGGATCTGAACAGGAATTCACAGAAAAAAGACCTGGATGGCTAATTAACATATGAGAACACACTCAATCTTCCTAGAAATAAAGGAAATGCAAATTAAAACAGCGAGATCCCATTTCATATTCATCAGATTGGTAAAAATTAAAAAGTCTGACAAAGCCAAGTGTTGGTGAGATGTGGAACCCCAGGAGCTCATCCCCACTGGGGGTGTTTAAATAGGTGTAACCACTTTGGAGGACAATTGGAAGATGTCTAATTAAGTTGAAGATGCTCATAATGCAAGACTCAGCCATGCTTCTTCTAGTATATCTTCTAGAGAAGTTCTTGCAGATTGCCCAGGAGGTGTCACAGAATGTTTATTCAGTGTTATTTTCCATAGTGAAACATTGGAAGCAACATAAGTGTCCATTTACAGGAGAATGGATAAAAAACATTGTGACTTGTGTAATGGAATGACTGTATACAGCAGTGAAATGGGTGAACTCGAGCTATGTGAATAAATCTCAAGGGCATGATGTTGAGTGAAAAAAGCAAGTTGTAGCATTGTAGGATAATGCAGTACAGTATGAAGCCTTTTATTAGAAGTGGAAATATATAAGAAGTAATATTATGTCATTTATACAAATATTTATACAAGCATAGCACAGCAACTTCAGTGGGGAGGGAGAGAGGTACTATCTGGCTTTAATTGTCTCTAGTTTCATTTCTTTTAAAAAGACAAATGATCTGAGACAAATATGGCAGATTATTAACTTCTCTTTAATATGGGTAATGGGTACACGTGTGTTGTATTGTCTGTGCTTTTTTTCTGTATATTTGCAGTATTTCCTAATAAATATTTTTAAAGACAACACAGCTGTATTTTTAATTTTAGAAATTATATGAAAGCACCTAGATTCAAGTCTTCCATGTGCTAAAACCCCCAACACTGCACACGTTGGAAGGCTTTGCCTATACTTCCCCATAGTATTGCAGTCCTGGTATATGAGAGTAGATTACATAAATTAGAAAATATTCCTCTGAGAACTATTTACGTAAATGATTAAGTTTAGTACACAGACATTTATAAGTCTTTAACCGATAGGCTATAACTTTAGCTTTTGATAATAAAGCTTCCCTTTATGATCTTCTCAAATCAAAGAATGGATATAGTGGAAAGAGGGATGATTTGAAGGAAGATATTTAATTTCCAAACAGGGTTCTGCCACTTAACTTGTTCTGAGGTCTTGGGCAAAGTCGTTTTGGGCATCAGATTTTTTTATCTGCAAAGTTGGGCTATTAAGGTCCTTTTTGCTGAGTTTTGTCAGGACTAAAGGGGCTCATAAACACATAAGAAGTACAGAGCCTGGCACTTACTGGGTGCTCAGTAAATTATGGTGCTGGTTATGATGATAAATACCGTTGACCTAGTGAGCTGTGTGGGCTTTGGCTGTATTTAGGAAAGTCTCTTGCTCACTGACAAAGCTTTATTGTTCATTTTGGAAGCGCTCTGGCAAATCAGATTTGCCATTAAGCTACTGGGCCGTCCCACTTATTTAGTTTGTGGGTAGCTCTAGGTGGTGCTTATAGCCTTTGGTGTCTAGAACAGAACTCTGGGCACCCTCCTGCCTGCTGGGCCTCCCTGACGTGTGGTACGTGTTTCAGGCCTTCTCCACAGTAGGCACTCCTGACTACATTGCTCCCGAGGTGTTCATGCAGACCGGGTACAACAAGCTCTGTGATTGGTGGTCGCTTGGGGTGATCATGTATGAGATGCTCATCGGTAAGTTGCATGCTTTCAGAGGGCTTTTTCTGTGCAGCCAGGAAAGATTCTTAACATTGATAGTAGACTGTTTCAGTTGGGGGTGATCTAAGCACTTTCCTTCCCTTGTCTTTCAAAGTGAAGTTTCCTAGGTAGAAAACTCTTGGCCATCAAATGTATCCCACCATATTCTCTGGCTTACTGGCATCCTATGGTCGCTTTGCTGATCATTTATCATGTTTTTCTTCTACTTTTTCATCCTCTCCATCTGGCAGCTCTTTCAGTCATGGGCATTTATTAAAGATCCATTGTATGCAGAGAACTTGAACTAGGCATTGCCTCACACACACTTCTTATTTGCTGTTCCCTTCTCTCAAAGCCTTCAAAGCATGGAACCCTCTGGCCTTTCTCCCTCTTGTATGGATGGTGTGTCTGTGTATTTAGGGGACACTCTGGGGGTGGGCATGTGCCCAAAAGCACCAGGAGAGTAAGTATCTCTGTGGTGGTACCGAGGGAGTCTGTGTAGATGACTGGTGTGGTATCTGGCTGCGTTGTCTTCGGGAACATTGGATGGATGCTTGTGGAGACAATGTAATCTTTGTGAGGGCAGGTGGAGTAATACAGTGTGTGAGTGTTTATCCTCTTGCCTGCAGTTCTCAAAAAGAGGCATAGTGGTCACTTATAAACTATGCTTTTTTATTATTCAACGTGTTTGGCACTTGACCCATATAAGGATATTCCTAGAATGGAGTTGTTTCTTCTGTTTGGAGTCGTTTCTTAATGATACTGTTTCGTCCTTTCATTTCTTCTTTGGGCACAGTGATTTCCACATCTGCAGCTCTGCTTATGTCCTCCTTTCTTTTCCCAGCTTCAGGTGTGGGTGGCTCCCTAGTCGTACCAGAAGCACAACTTCATTTTTGGTTTAGAAGTTTGGGGGAAAATGAAAAATTGGTTTAGATGTTTTCTGATATGAGTGGAAATGCTGTCCATTTCCCCCATGTCATGAAGGGAGGGACATTAGGATCATTAAAGACATAGAATCATATTAAGGAGAATAATCTTAGTCAGAGTCAAAGTTCTGGGATGTAAAAGCTCCGAAGTTCCTTTTTTATTACAGGCTACCCACCTTTCTGTTCTGAGACCCCGCAAGAGACATATAAGAAGGTGATGAACTGGAAAGAAACCTTGACTTTTCCTCCAGAAGTTCCTATCTCTGAGAAAGCCAAGGATCTAATTTTGAGGTATCAGTTGGAAAACATCTCCCCTGCCCCCTACTTAGGCTTTTTGACAAGAGTGAATCCATTTTTTTTTAACTTTCATTATTTCCTGGGTCTGCCCCCTCCTTCTTCCCCTTCCTCTCTTTGAAAAAAAGGGAGGTTATTCCTTTTCTTTTTCTGAAGAGACTACTTGAGGTATGCTGAAAGGCCTCTGTCTTTTCCAGATTCTGCTGTGAATGGGAACATAGAATTGGAGCCCCTGGAGTTGAGGAAATCAAAAATAATTCTTTTTTTGAAGGCGTTGACTGGGAACATATCAGGTATATCCATATAAAAGCTTTCAGGATTATTTCAGAAAGGCTGTAGTTTGCTTAATACTATCTTGGAAGCACCATTACTGGCAAGCCAAGTAAGAGAAGAGAGCTTCTTAGAAATTTAGGATCTTTTCCTGATTTTCATTCATGGTGGGGATTGAGAGTTGGGGCTTCCTGTTGGCCATGTGCCATGGGGTATGTTGAAGCCAGCCGTTATTTCCAGAGTGAAGTGAACTTGGGTTCCATGGTGAAGGGAGCATCTAGGAAGCATGTTGCTGTTGCTTTTACCTGGCACACACCAACCTCTCTACGCTCTAGTGTTGGGGGCCACCAGCAGCACTGTCCCTGCCCGCAGGGTAGGGGCTGTCAGTGGGAGAGAGAGAGAAGGAAGACAGGAGTGCAAGAAGGATTGGGGTAGGGAGTGGTACAGAGGGGAGTGGTGACGGAGAGTGGAAATTGTTCTGGTGGGGGTTGTAGAGTGCTGTCAGTGGTGACAAGAGCCTGCACTGCCTGCTGTTGTCCCAGACCTTCCTCCTCAGCATTCACTGGTTGCTAAGCTGAAGATGAAGAATTTGTCATCTCTTTCATAATTGTGTTCTGATTTGCATCCTGGTGATGTTTACCTTTGCCTCCTTTGTGCCGCATTTTTAGCCATCCTACTCACTGGCACCTCTGGTAGAAGAAGGCCAGAGCCCTACATGAGGGGACACTTAAGAGGTTCAGTTTCCCTTTTCAGCAGACAGGGCAGGTTGTCAGGGGGAGTGCATTAACTTTGGATTTTAATTTCTCATTATTTTTGTCTTTCTTCCTAGCTATGAATATTTATATTTTTTCATCATAATTTATTTTGTTTAGATGTAGTTGGCGTGGTTGGTCAGTGGTCGTAAGCTTTGCAGAGAAAATAAATGCTGCCTGCCAGTGAATAGTCTTCCCATGTCACCCCAGGGGTCTGTTTTGGAGAAAGACTTGGTTATGATCCGTATGATTACTAACCATAGTAATTTTTGGCATGTCTATTCTTGGCAGAGAGAGACCTGCTGCAATATCTATTGAAATCAAAAGCATTGATGATACCTCAAACTTCGATGAGTTTCCAGAATCTGATATTCTTAAGCCAACAGGTAATACCACCAAACCGCCTCCTGCTGCCTTATAAGTGCATTATTTCCCCCCAGTTTCAGATGACGTTTACAAATTAGGGTAGAGAACATGGAGGGAACTTCAGTTCTTCGAGTTCTTTGTAAGTATTTTTCCAGTGCTCATACTGGGTGGCAGTGAGGCCTTGTCGAGTGGGAAATGAATACAAACTCCCGTGTTTAGACTGCTCAACTGGATGGGTAAATCACAAAGATGTTCTTTTGTTGTTATTAAATTAAAGGTTAGATAACCTGATGACACAAATAGGGAAATAAAACTTTCAATATATTTGTGAAAAATATGAGGTTCAAAGAACATAGGCAAGCAAATGTAGGAAAGTCACAGAGTGAAAAATAACTTTTCCCAAATAGAAACTGACTATGTTCTTGAGAATGTCATGCCTTCGGTACTGAGTAGTCTGTCTGGGTAAGGCAGTGAGTCAACTCTTACATCTATTTCTTTCCCAGTGGCAACAAGTAATCACCCTGAGACTGACTACAAGAACAAAGACTGGGTCTTCATCAATTACACATACAAGCGCTTTGAGGGCCTGACTGCGCGGGGGGCAATACCTTCCTACATGAAAGCAGCAAAATAGTATCCTTGAAATGGAATCCTAAATGGAGCAGAGTTCTTTGTACAACATCGCGGTTTTCCTCTCACACACTCTTTGGAAAGAGCTTCCAAGAAGTTTATGGAACCCACCAATATGTCACGGTAAATTCTCCTGAAATGTGATAGTAAGTGGATTCTCTTCCATGTGCATCTGAAAAGCTGCAGAACAAAGACAACTCTTTCCACTCCCTCGGCCAGAAACAGCTGTCCTGCTTCTTGGGAAGCATCACGAGCCAATTTGATAGATGTTTTAAAAAACTTGAGTTTTCCTAAGTTCATCAGAATGAAGGGGAAAAGACAGCCATCATCTAACATTATTGAGATTGTAACATATACTTATCAAATATCAGCCAATTCCTGTCACTTTGTGACATGCTTTCTGCCAAACCCACCAAGTATTTCTTTTTCTTTACAGCTAAAATTTCCATAGTACAGGAAATAAAGCAATAAGGAAAGCCTCAGCAGCCAGCATTCTGGCTGAAGGAAATGATCCACCATCCTCTGAGGGGGTGGTGATGGTGGTAGTTTCCCCCCTTACCTCGGCCTTGGGCAAGTGGCTTTTTATAGCCTCCATTCATGGTGCACTTTATTTATGGTACTAGGATAAAGACCCTCAATCCATTGATTTTTCTCGTCCCGCCCATCTAAAACACTCATGCTGCTTTTCTGAGTGTTGATGGGGAGATACCAGCTTGATCCATTATTACTCTTGGAAGGCCTGAAAAGCCACTGGGCATTGCCAAGGAGTCCCGGATCACCTGGAAAACCCTCACTTTCTCTTCACGGCTGTCTCAGAAAATCCCTAAGACAGATGTTGCCATGGACCAGCAGTACTTGCGAGTGCTGCCAACAGGAACTTGGTTTATTCCTGGGAACACAGCAAGGAGAGCCCAGGCAGAGGCAGGAGGCCTGGCACCCTCTTGGCTAAGGTGCTGCTCGGGCTCTAGAAGCTCCTGGGAAGTGCTGAAGGAACCGGCCCAATAGAACGTGCGGAGCCAGCCTACAAGTGCTTGTAAAGTTCACTCCTCAATCTTCGGTGCAACTGTGTTTTGTCTTCTCTCCTGGTATTTCTCCTCTCCCAACTTTAAGTAACCATTTTGCCTTGGAATCATGATTACAAATTTTTCCTTTGCAGATGCCTTTCTGGGGGATGCTCTTCTATACCTTAAAGGGTCGCCTGCAGCTTGGGCTGCCCAGGCCTCTCTGCTGTGGCTTTCTCTCATCAGAGACCCTCTGAATTTTAGCACAAAGTGCCTTCTCTTTTACAGCTGCCACCACCTTTAGAGGAATTTTGCCGTGTCAGAAAAATATGGAGTCTCCATATTAATGCATTATTACTTTTAAAAATTTTGATAACTCTTAAAGCATCATTTGCACCTGTGTGTAACTTTGCCTGTTGCAGAGTGTCATGGCCAGGCTATAACTGGGAGACTGCTTTCTGCTAGTCTTGAGGTTAAGATCAGCTTTGAAAGGAAAGTATGTCCTAGCTTAGCCATACAGAAAAGAAAAATGGAGTATCAAAGTTATAGCAGTAAATGAAACTGCTTTGGGTTTTAATGTCTTAGAGGAAGAAAAAGAAGAATATTAGGGAGTTATTAACTTTGGATGAAGGTAATGTGTTTGCCTCGTAATCTTTCATTCATGGTCTGTTAGTGAAAAGGAAGTAAATGAGATTCTTTTGTGCAACTTGATAGTTTCTTTCTATTACTCAATAGTTGGGGTCTTGACCCCCACGTGTTTTGCAAGAGTGTGTGGTAAGCAAGGGTAAAGAGAAGTTACGAGAGTGGTGATAGTCTGTGTGTTGGGGAGTGGCAGGGGATGGTTTGTTTTAGGGGAAAATGCCCACATTTTAACTTTGAAACTTCTGAATAAACTGTGTGAAAACATTAGTGTAAATCTGTGATGTGTTTTATTATTTATTTATTTTTTATTTATTTGGGGAGGAGGACTAGCCCTGAGCTAACATCCGATGCCAATCCTCCCCTTTTTTCTTGAGAAAGATTGGTCCTGGGCTAACATCCGTGCCCATCTTCCTCTACTTTATATGGGATGCCGCCACAGCATGGCCTGACAAGTGGTGCGTCGGTGCACGCCCGGGATCCGAACCTGTGAACCCCGGGCCGCCAAAGCGGAGTGTGCGCACTTAACCGCTACGCCACCGGCCCCTGTGATGTGTTTTAAAGCAAATGTGACTTGTGATTCAAAGAGGCAGAGTACTGGTGGCTTCTTTTATCCCTTTTGTCTGCAAACCATTGGAACATTGCATCACCATCTTAGGCAAAGTGCTTTTCTGTCTCAGGGAAGCTGAGACCTGCTTTTTTGTTCCCTGAGAACAAGTCTTCTGAATGGACATCCATATACAGAAACTGTCTTCTGTCGGCCCCATGTATGTGCTCTTTCCACCTGGTTCAGTGTTACAGGGCAGTGGCCTCTCTCCTTGCAGTAAGGCCGAGGGGAGACCGGCTGACAAAAGTGCTGCCAACTGGTGGACCCTTTGTACAACTGTTTACACCCCAGCTCCATTTTTTTCCAGCCTGGGGTCAACCAGGAATCTCACAGACTCCCTTGGCCGGGTCCACCAGAGCAGGGTTCAGTCTCTGGATGTTGTGTATTTGAGGAGGCCTATGGGGTCCCACTTAGCCCCTTCTCTGGGTAGGGAAAAGAGCCTCAGAGGAAAGAAGGGGCAAAGACCATTTAGGATAGGAACTGCAGGCAGAGAGAGGCTAAATGCAGCCAGAATGTGTATTCCTTCCAAGGCTCATGGGTTTCAAGAAACATGTTAGGAACCATTGGTGCAATATTGGTCCTGTTCACAGATATTCTGTTTCCTACTCTCTTAGCGGGAGTTAGAAAATAATCTAACTGTGCTGCATACTAAAACGAAACTGAATACTGATGTCATTCAGTCTCTTTGATTCAGGAGTGCATCAAAATTTTCTTCAATACCTGTTTATTTTTAGAATTACTTTCAAAAGTAAGATACAAATGAATTCCTTCGGGGTTAATATTCAGGCTCTGAACAGCAGGTTGCATATTTCAAAACTCATCTAGATGGCATAACAGAAATCCTCTGCTATTGATTGCTAATACTTTTTCTATGAATTGTTTCCTTGAAAAGCATATTTCCTGGATCACCTTCTCCTGTTTGTCTCTCCTGGGCCTCTGTGTAACCCAAATGATTTTTATTGAACCCAAAAGGATTCAGTGAATAGTATTTTTCTTTACTGGGTAGCATACATTTCACTGGAATGATCTATCAAAGCCAACACTGACTTAAAAACAGCCTCCATGATGCTTTTTCAGGCATATTTTCAGAGAACATCTAAGCATCCATGATATGCAGAGCTCAATACTAGGCACTCTGGGGTTGCAGTAGGGAGCCTACCCTGGTTCTGAACCACGGATCAGTTTGAGCATTCCTCCCTACCACGTAGCTTAACAGAATGCAGCACCAACTGTAAAGTTATTGTATTAGTGTTGATGTAACAGAGTACTGTTAGGCCAACCTAGAGTTGGGAAGCTTCCCAGAGATGTTTTTAAGTAGCAGTAATTTGGCAGAGGGGAATGTGAGCAGGCTAGGATTTTGGAGGCTGTTAGGTATGGTTTTGTGCTATGGTACAGGCGTGGAGCTGTGAATGAGAACACTCTGCACTCATTTTTCTGACTTCCTCATTTCCCTCTCCGACTTCAACCCACTCCATTCTGGTTTCTATCCCTTGTGTGAAACATGTTAGTAGTAATTATCCCAGTATAAAACATGCTGTTATTAATTTTTATAATCATTTCTCTGATCACTGGTGTCCTAATTGCCATATCCATTGGTTTCTCTTCAGTCCTCATCTTACTTGATTAACCTGCTGCACCCTGTCAAAAGTCAATACTGTTGACTTTTGAAAAAAATTCTACTCCCACCTGACTTCCTTCTCAGTAGTTCCTCTGCCACCACTTAAATGCTGGTGCTTCCATGTAGCCAAGTGCCTACTAGAAATTGCCATCTGGAAGGCCTCCTACAGGCTCAAGCTAAAGCTGTCCAAAAGGAGCTCCTCTTGCCTTCATAGCCATTATTCTAGCTCAGTCCACCCAGCTGTCCAAGCCAGAAACTTCTTGCATGGCTCCCATCAGTAAACACGTACAGCGCCAGAGCGTGCCCATCCATCCTCCTGGTGCCTTCATCATTCCTTCCCAAATCCATTGCAGTGGTCTCTTAGCTGACCTCTTTGTCCCTGGTCCTTCCCTTTTCAAGTGTTACCCTTCCTGCTGCCAAAGAAATTCTTTTAAATTTCAAATCTGATCATATCATTCTCCTGCATAAAACCCTTTAGGGCTCCCAATAGTGTATATGATGAGACCAAACACCTTTGAGGTACAAGAGCCCTTCCTTACTCCAGCCTCATCTCTGCATCACCCCATCCTCTTCCCTGATGACAAGGAGCGATTATTTCATCTTTGCTCGGATAGTTGAGTTGCCCTGGAATACTTCCTCTCCTTGTATTCAGATCCACAACTAGTGTTCATCCTCCACAATTTGGTTCGCGTGTCACTGCTAGACTCCTCTTGTGAACTCTACTCACAGTAAACCAGGCTACTCCATCCTTTTCGTCTTCCTGAGTGACCTGTTTGTTTACAGATCTCTTCTCCATGTGATTATAAAAGCCCCTTGAAGGGGGGCATTGTATCCTAGTCCGTGTATCCCTGTGGCTAAGCAATGCTTAGCACAGAATAAACTCAACAGGCCATGTCTTCAGAGCATGTTCTTAACCTCTGTGCTGATACAGGGTAGGCCTGCCAGGGAGGCGCAGGCTTGCTTTAGCACCCCTGGCAGTTGTCAGCATCACCAATAAGCTCCCAGGCTAACTGAGCTAAGGGAGCTTAGTAGACACCTGGCTAGGGCAGGGCCAAGTCACAGAGACCAAAGGATGAGCAAGCAGCTCTATAGCAGTGTTTCCAGGGACCTGCCTGGACTCTGCCCTACCTTCTCCCCTGCCTTTCCTTCCTGGCATGGTTCCTCACTTGCTTTACACCAAAACTAGAACACAAGTCTGTCAGTCCTCTTACCCTTCAAATTTACATTTGGCTTTGTGGGGTCCTGCGTAGTTGGATTTGAGGGTTCCAGGGGTCCTAAATGCAAGTTAACCAGGAACTTGAGAAAGCAGACCATTAGGGCTCTGGAACCTGTGAGCTATAAAGAAACAGCAGGGTGGGAAAAGCACACACAGGCTCAAGGCGAGCCCTATGGCCCCCGTAGGAAAGGAAGAGGCTCTGTTCTGGGCACTGCGGGTGCTACTCCTTTCAGTCCCTTTTCACATCTGCCAATTTTATTTTCTGCTAAGAAACAACATGGACACAAATGATAATATTTTATTATTATAGAAAAAGCATCCCGAATATAGGATTTCGTAAACACTGATAGGTGAACAAGTGCAACTTTAAAAGTGAATACAAAGTAAAGAGGCAAAACCTACAAGCATTTTGCCTTTGAGAAATGTCCTATTCTCCTGCAGAGGTGATCCCCCCAGAGCACAAATGTGGCTCCATCTCCCAAGAAGGCGTCAGGTTTGCTTTCTGAACTCACTGTGCCCATTTTAACAATTTCAAAATGATGGCAAGAAGTGGCATCGAATAAATGACTAATACCCCCTGATTCTTTAACTTTCTGTTGACACTTGATAAAAAAGGCTGCATATCACATTTTGACAATTTGAGTTAAAGCCTGTGCTTTGATTGTTTTTACTTACAGAAAGACCTGTTGGAACACTATTTGCAAATATATCCACCCTTCCCAGGCTTATTCCACAATATTTTCATAGACCTCTATACATTAGATATCACACTGTTCTCTTGGAATTTAGTTAAAATAATATTGGCTATTGCACATTGTGCAGTAAATCCAACTACTTTCTAGTTTCCTTACCCTTTTTGCTGTCATTCTTTCAATACGTCTCCCCCACATTGGGGAAACCATTAAGTAATCTCACCAGACACATTCTGACACTGTCTCCTTGCCCACTCTCCAACTCTACAATGGCAATGTTTCCTAATCAACTATACATGATAGGATGCAGACACAAACTCAAGATTCTAAACCTCAAATTCAGGTTCATCTTGGCCTGCTGAGATACCTCTGAGTAAGACAGTCTGGGTAAAACCATTTTCTTATGAAAATGTTTCTGTATAAACAGCCTGGCTTACTTATTTAGGCACTTAGAAAAAATATCAAACCTGAGTTCCACCTTTTTTAGTAGAAACAACACCTCTTGCCCAGCTGGCCAGTGACTGACTGAAGGGAATGGCCACAATCCAGCCCTCGTCCCTGTGAGCACTGAGAGGTCCTGCCGTTGCGGAATGTCCTGGCCCTGGGAACCGAGCCACTGTGGCTGAAGGGAACCACCCAATTACAGTGATGCTGAGCTCCAGGCTGGGAGGGCACGGGGTGGTGAAACCTCCCTTTGTACCATAAGGAGCCTGTGGACCCAGCTTTCCCCTCAGTCACCAGCACCTGCTGACACTGGCAGATTCACCTCCACAGATTTCCAGCTCACTGAAACCCTATGGGTTGGGGCCAAAAGCATATTAACCCAATTTGGAGGGAAAAAAGACCTAGTTCTTGAAAGTCTGAGGAAATTAATCATTTACATAGAACACAGTGTTAAGTACATGCCATCCTTTCATACCTGGCTTTTTACCCAAGCAAGGACTAAGTAGTTTTAGAGTGTTAGCTGGAGCACGTTTATACTTAAATGTTAACAATATGTAAGCTGTATTAATGTCAGAAACTACATAGTTAATTCAGATTTCCTTTGTGATGGCACGGAAGTCAACTGAAAAGTGTAAAGGAAGCACCATTAAACAATTACAAGGGCTAGTCAACTACTAGTTGAATGTATGAATTTAGTACTGGTGAGGTCAAAGCCAAACCTGACCTCAAATATGAGCCAATTAGTTTCACAGAAGTAAAACTACCCTCTGGCTACAAAATAACCCTAAACCTTAACCCTGGCCATCAGCCTTACCAATGGATGCCAATGGTAATCAGAAGAACTCTGCAGGTGGGAGATGGCTCAGTTTTAACCCCTTACTACTACTATTTCTGAGTAAGGAACAGAGCACTGATTTCCACTGTGATGCTGATGCACAGAGAACCCACTTCCTAAGAACACTCTTGTTCTTCAAGCCTGCAAACAGTAGGTTTCAACACCCATCTAACTTTACCTTTGGAGGACTGTGACTAGGGCAGTCATAAAAATGCAATCAAGTAGCTTGCCTTACCGTATCTCATGGGAATGGAATTGAAGAAAACCAGTCACGTTCTTATCTGAAAGAACTTGAAGGAAACTACGTGTCTCTTCATAATTTGTGATGAGTAAATGCTCTGGGTAGGTGCCTGGAAGGCCAACCTCTACAGCAAAATGGGAGATAATCTCAAGATACTTATATCTGGCTCTAGACTCTAAATTTTGCTCTGCTGTTAATAGCCATGGGGACATCAGGTAAGGTGGTTCAGTACTGGGGGGACTGGGGAGAGTGAGCTGGGTTGTCATACATCATGCACTGTTAACACAGAGCTGACAGATCAAACAAAATTACTAGGCCTAATTTCCCTTCAACTCATCCTTCCTTTGGGGATGACACTATGGTTTTCTTACCCACTGTGAGCAGTTGATAGGCTATTTCAAAAACTGAAATATCTTGATACCCAGAAACATTCCATAGTATGAAAAAAATATACAAAGAAAAATCCTGCGCCAGGAAAAAGCCTGAGCAGGTGATGTTTTCCCACCCAGTTTCAGCCCAAATGCCCCCTCCCTGGAGCTCTTATAAGTCTTTCTATTGAGAAACTGAGCACTTGTGAGAAAATTCTGCCCACATCTTGAAAGCCTTTAAGCCACATCTAAGGTCTCCCAGCCACACCCACAGCAACATGCTGCCCTAGGGTGACGACCTATGGGCTTCATACCAGATTCCAAGAGAAGATAATCCAAGTGGCCTGATTTGGAGAGGTTCTACTTGAGTTGTAAGTTTCATTCCAAATGAATAATCAATTTGTTTAGGCTCAGAAACCTTGAAGCTAAAAAGGTTTCATAAACATTGTTATGCCATTATCCTTCCTGTCAAAGAATCTCTCTGTGTGGTTTTGGATTGTTCATTGCATTAATGAAGAACAGAACTGAATTTAAGCTCTTAGAAATTTCCTCTTGGACATTTTGAATGAGGGCCCAGTTCTTTCCAGGTGCAACCTGGGCACAGAGGCCCCCAGGAATGGCCTCTTCCCTAACCTCTAATGAGCATCCCGTTAGTGCCTGCTTGTGGAAGATGGAGATTGTCTTTTAAGTTTGGTCCCTTTGCTACTAAGTAATTTGCCTGGTATAAAACAAAACAAAACAGACAAAAGCCAAGAACAGAGTGTAAGGGACGAGGACTGCTTTGCTGAATATGAGGCAACAGGATTTCTTGACTTCCTTTCCTGCTTTTGCAGTTATGCAAAGACTCAGTGAACAGCACCAGACCCAAATTTTTCAAGTTACCAAGGCTGCTATAAAGCTAGTATCTTAATTACCAGTGAGTGCTTTGTCATCCTCTGCCGGAGGCACAGATTTACTGAAAAGGACACACGTTGATTATGGGAGAAAGGGAAAAGGATGAGGGAGAAGCATGTCTCCTACTCGGGATGAGACAAACCATGGGGAGAACTGGCTGTGAGCATCCCAGACAGAAAGGCTCTGAAGAGGGGTGGACCCACAGCTGGCCCTAATCCTGAAAGTCGTTAGAGGCCATCTGAGAAAGTGGGGCATTTAGCCGGTCAAGTTCATCTACTTGGGGTGGGTGGTACATTAGTATCTCCTGGTCCTCCAAGACATCTTCTCCAGCAGCTACCAGATTAGTGAGGGATTTGCTTCGAACACACTGGAAATCTACATGGCGACTCTTTCCTTCTTCCTTTTCCCACGACATCTGGATAAAGGGGCGCTGCACGTAATTATAGATTACTTCAGATCGGCCACCAGGTCTTCTCTTAATTTTTTCTTTACAGGTAGGGTAACCTGAAACAGGAAAAAGGCCGTTCTCATGACTCCAGCAAATTTCTCACTCTGGCTTCCATACTTTCTCCTTCCTAACCACATCAATTTTCTCCCAAATCCAAAGACTATCCATGAAAACTACTGGGAAAGTGACCAGCCTCTGACCATGCCCTCCCACCCCCAACCACCGACACGCTCGCTTCCCTCCTGCTCAGGTTAGTGGGTCTTGTCCCTAGAAGGGAAATAACAAAAATTCTATTCCTTCTAATGGAAGGGGGAGAGAAACCTCTTATTAATTTCAGAAGGCTTTAAGGCCTGCCCCATGGCTTAGCGGTTAAGTGCGTGCGCTCCGCTACTGGTGGCCCGGGTTCGGATCCTGGGCGCGCACCGACGCACCGCTTCTCTGGCCATGCTGAGGCCGCGTCCCACATACAGCAACTAGAAGGATGTGCAGCTATGACATACAACTATCTACTGGGGCTTTGGGGGAAAAAAGGAGGAGGATTGGCAATGGATGTTATCTCAGACCCAGTGTTCCTCAGCAAAAAGAGGAGGATTAGCATGGATGTTAGCTCAGGGCTGATCTTCCTCACAAAAAATAAATAAATAAATAAATAAATAAATAAAATTGTAAAAAGATGTGTGCTGCTTATTACCTCCATTCTAGCACTGATTGAGCACTAAAGTGCAAGTCATTAAAAAAAAAAATTTCAGAAGGCTTTAGAAACACTGGAAACAATACTATCAAACAAAAATCTTGCTAGGGCATAGCTACTCCAGTCCTCTAATGCCAGTGCTTAGAGGGCATGCTGTATGAGAAGTAGTTAAGGAAATGTGGACAGTTTAGCCTAAAGAAAAAACAGGAATGCAGCCTAAAACATCAGAAAGCCTGTCACATGGAAATGGGAGAAATCTTACTCAGAGTAACTTCAGAGCTAGAACTAGAAGGAACACAGAAGAGGGAGGTGGTTATCTATTAGATTCATGGAAGAATGTTCTCAAGGTAGAAAAGTTGGATGGGCTGCTCTGGGAAATGGAGTGATCCCTATCACCCTGTCCCTGGGGTTTCCAAAGAGACAAGGGAGGGACAAAGTAGAGAGAGGTTTAATAGACGATCTCAAAAATCTCTTCCAACTTTAAATTCCAACTGAAGTCAGATGGGTTCCATGGGCAGGACTGAGACAGCAAGAGTAGCAAAACACAAGAGTCAAAGACGCACGGAGGGGAGACCAGGATGGCTTTGGCACTCTCCAAGAATCAGTCTCCAAGACCCTTCCATGGAAACCACAGTTTGGGAGCCATTGCTCAAGATCATTTAAAGTTCTGGCCATACATCCAGATGGTCCTCAAAGGTATATAGTGGAATAAACTTAAATTTTGAGTCTCCAAGCTATGGTTTTCAGAAGGACCCTTCCAGATCCCAGGAAGATCCTCACCCAGACTGTTGGCGGAATGGCTCTCCTACTTGGTGAGCCCGTGAGCCTTGCACAGTTACCCACCAGTGTCCTTAGCCCTCACTGTTCTTTATCCTGAGGCAACAAACTGCAACTTATTCCTACAGCTGCTTTAAAGCATTTTCAACTGGAAGTAAAATGAAAAGGAAATGTAAGGTCAAACAAACAGAACAACGGAATCCTTCAAACTTGGGTACGAATGTAGTTTCCACGTGTGCCTATTCTCTAGGTCCCCTGGAAGCTGAGTTTTAAGGACATAAACTGTGGTCACAGATCCACCCTACTCCATGAGCCATGCAAGCTGAATATGGACTGGGATATTTTTTACCTTCAATTCCAATGCGAATGTTTTTCAGGCCCCGCTCCTTTAACACTGTTTTAGCGACATCCCGATTCTCAATATACTTGAAGAATCTGTAGAGCTTAGAGCTATAAAGAACTAGAAAAAAAAGAATCTGGTATTAGTCATGGAGCAAAGACCTCCATAAGATGAAGGAGATGACCTACCAGAATCAGACTAATGAAAGGTATATCTGAGCCCTGATGCCAAAAAGAATCCAGACGGATCACAGATTAAATGTTAAATAATAAATCAACCATGATAAAGAAACCATACAAGAAATGTTTATAGTCTCAGGGTGGAAAAGGCCTTTCTGGGTATGACATAAAACCTAGGAGCCATAAAAGAAAAACTGATACACTCGACTACATAAAAATACAACATCTCTGCTTAGCCAAAACCACCATTAACAAAGCACAAAAGACAATCAACTGGGAAAAATATTTGCAACTCATATCACAAAGGGTTAACTTACTTAATAAATAGAGTGGTAACAAATAGCTTTCACAAATCACTAAGTAAAAGACTAACAATCCAATTTTGTAATAAGCAAAGGGCATGAATACAGTTAACAGAAAAGGAAATTAAAATGGCTCTTAAAAATTAAAAAGGTTCAGTTTCATTCATGAAATGAGAAATGCAAATTAAAACTCAAATGAGATGCTGTTTTTTACATATCAGAGTGGCAAAGATAAAAGTTTATTTAGTAAAACACTGTTTTGCTGAGGGTATGGGAGACAAACCTGTCATACATCGTTTTGTGAGTGTAAGTCTGCTCAACCTTTACGGAGGATAATTTGGCAACATCAAAATTACAAAAGCACAAAGCTTTTGGCACAGAAATTCCATTTCTAGCAATATTATTCTATAGATATATACATATGTGAAAATACTATGTTTAAAGATTTTATTTACTCAGTTTTTCCCCCCAAAGCCCCAGTAGATAGTTGTACGTCATAGGTTCACATCCTTCTAGTTGCTGTACGTGGGACTCGGCCTCGCGTTGGACGGAGAAGTGGTGCCTCGGGGCGCTCCCGGGATCCGAACCCAGGCCGCTAGCATCAGAGCGCGCGCACTTAACCGCTAAGCCACGGGGCCGGCCCGAAAATACTATGTTTAAAAGGATATTCACAACAGCATCATTTATAATTTATAGCTTAAATGTCCATCAACAGGGCTGGTTAAATGAATTATGGCACTCTCATGCAATGGAATACTACACAGCCATAAAAATGATCGTGGAAGCTTTTTCTGTAAGACATAGTATAGAACAGTCTGTATAATATGGTATCACTTGGAAAAAACATGTATGTAATTGCTTATGTATGTGCATTGAATACATCTGGAAGGATATAAAAGAAACTGAGGAGGAAAACTAGGTAGATGAGTCAGGGGTGGGAACAAGACTTTTCAATGTATATCCTTTTGTACTTTTTGAATTTTTAATTATTACCAATGCAAAAGGACTTAAAAATGAAACAAATGGAGGGCAGAATGATAGCACCATTTAACGTGCTGCCTCAGTACTGCCAGAGTCCCAGACACCAGGAGTAGCAGTGGGAGGTCTAACTATGTGCCCCAGCGGAGAAGTTAGACCTGCATCACTAGACTGAATTGATCATCCAGGTGAGTGTGCTCACCACCAGCTCAACAGGGATATTCATGTTGGTTCTAGGATCTAGCTGGTACTCTGGGCAGCAAGTTTTTGCTGAAAACATCTATACCATGAGGGGGCTCCTACTTTGGGAATATTCCTCCCCCATGGGTGGGGGGTGGTCTTCATCCCAGTCCACAGAATCCTCATCGGTCAGCACAACGATGTGGCACTCCCGCTCGCCTTTCTTGGCACAGTCCACCATGATGGGCAGGATCAGCTCTTCGAGGTAGTGATCAAACTGCTTGTGAGCACCATCGTTGGACAGTTCATGCAGCAAAGCACCTGGGGAGAGACAGTGCAGGTGAACATCCTCTCTGCCCAATGCGTGTATTACTGGAGCGAAAAAGACTATGAGATAACAGCTGTTATCATTGATAAGGTCCAGGAAGTAGCCCATTTAAAGGCAGAGATTGTTTCCAGCTCCAAGGTGACAATTAAGCTGATTTTGTTAGATCTGTTTCACATTCTACCACTCTTCAATTTCCTCATGTTTAATAATCCTTGAGCATTCTGATAAATTGAGGTTTTGTTGGACACACAGTGTCAGACCATGAACATTGATTCTAGAAAGAGACAGACCATCATTTGGGGATGACTCTTTATATACCTCTTCTGAAGATACTCTGGACCCCAATGTCATAGTGTTAGAGTACCAAAGAAGAGGAATAACCTCAAGTTTGGCAACACTGAAAGACCTGCTGTAAGTGTGTACTAGACCCGGTAGAGAAACCACAAGTCCAGAGAACTTCATGGAATGTGCAGAGAAATGTATCAGGAAATTCAAAAAATAATTTTTATTTATTTATTTATTTTGTGAGGAGATCAGTCCTGTGCTAACATCTGCCAACCCTCCTCTTTTTTTGCTGAGGAAGACTGGCCCTGGGCTAACATCTGTGCCCATCTTCCTCCACTTTATATGGGACGCCGCCACAGCATGGCTTGCCAAGCAGTGCGTCGGTGAACGCACGGGATCCGAACCGGCGAACCCCGGGCCACCGCAGCGGAGTGCGCGCACTTAACCGCTTGCACCACCGGGCCGGCCCCAAAAAATAATTTTTAAAATAATTTCAGGAAGCTTAAGTAATGATAAGAGCATGGAGTTTGTAGTCAGACAATCAGTTCTAATCCCAGCTTTAATGCTTAGAGCTTTTAACAAACTAATTTCTCAGTCTTCTCATTTGTTAAATGAGGTTTTCACCATCTTTCAGAGTTAACTGTTGTAAGATTTAAGCAAGTTCACATCTATAAAGCACTTGGCAAACACTAAGTTAATAATAATGATAAAATTAACTGTAAGAAGAACCCAGCCCAGGCCAGCCCCGTGGCTTAGCGGTTAAGTGCGCGCGCTCCGCTACTGGAGGCCTGGGTTCGGATCCCGGGCACGCACCGACGCACCACTTGTCCGGCCGTGCTGAGGCCGCATCCCACATACAGCAACTAGAAGGATGTGCAGCTATGACATACAACTATCTACTGGGGCTCTGAGGAGAAAAAGGGACAAAAAAGGAGGAGGATTAGCAATAGATGTTAGCTCAACGCTGGACTTCCTCACACACAAAAAAAACAAACAAAAAAAACAAAGCTTAAAAAAAAAAAATAAGAACCCAGCCAATTTGTGCTGTTTGACTTTACTAGTAGCCTTCCCTCATATCTGAGAATAGTTGAGATGCCAAGGTCCCAAGAGGGAAAGCAATTAGCTCGGTGACTCATGGGTCAAGCTAGATTTAGAACACACTACATGTTCTCTTTTGTTTACTCCACTTCCTCACAGTGCTCTGCAGCAAGAGAGGGGATGGGTTAGTGTCACATCTCTGCCTCTGCAGATGATTTTCAATCCACAGTTGAAACTCTGTTTAGTAATAAAAATATCAGTCAGTTCCAAGGAAACTCAAAATTCAGCTACTCCTGTACTTACTCAGATCCTGACATCGGATAGTGTTGAAGTCAAAGTTAATGCAGAGATAATCGCACGTATCCCTAAGGTCTGGGATAGAGATGCCATCAGGACAGTTGATAATACCAGTTTTGTAATAATCCTGTAAATAGATTAGGAAGAAGAAATGTAGGCAGAGAACAAGATAAAAAGTTACCTCTTCAACCCCCTATTCATTCCTGGTTCTGTTCAAGTGATGAGTTACTAGAACTATCACCAAGTTGGTTGATTCATTAGATGGCAAAGTGGCCCCAGGTATCCTGACATGTTTAATAATCACGACATCTTGATACCTGACTGAGCTCACATAAGCAAGAAGGACTTAAAAGTTACAGGAATAGAAAATAAAGAGGGAAAGGCAATCACTGGAAACTGGAGACCCTGAAGTCAGTAACACAGTTTGATGGAACTCCAGAGGCTTCTGACTCTATATGCCCCCAGGGGAAGAGGGGGTAACGCAAAGGCGACTACACACCAGCACTGTTCGAAATACAGTTGCACTGATTCCTTCAGCAATCTCATACTCGCCCTTCTCATTGGGCCGTGTGAAGTTGTACTCTCTTCCTGGTCCAAACATCCTGAAAGACACCCAGGCGACAACGTTACCCTCTCCAGCGAGATTCTTCACAGATGAGGCTTCTCCCTTCTTCACCTCATTCTGGAAGACTCCATCCCACACCCTCGCAGCATAAGTTAAAAACATGGCACTGGGACCCAACCCCTATAAACATACTCAAGCCTTAGGAAACTCCCTTCAGACAGGAAACATGGCAGCGACTGCTTTCAGCATTTGAGTGCAAGGAGGAATGAAGCAGCAAGTCCTCAAGGTTCACCTGTAGTGAGCTGCTGAGCCAGCGAATGAAGTAAAACAGCATCTGCAGAGCTGCCCTGGAAAACCTCTGGAGTGTGTGCGAGTTGCCTCTCACACCCTCCCCACTGCCCAGGAACCTGCCGACAGCCTGGCAGCTCAGGAAGAGCGTGGCCATGCTCCTGACCTTTCATTCCTTTCCCTCCTCTTCCAACAATTACCTCTCCAGTACACCAGTCCTCAACGCTTCTGAGTTCTGCTTTTCAACATCTAATCTGATAGATGAATCTGTATCAGTAGGTGCAGATATGTTAATACTTTCCCTTTCCTGCTACATTTTAAGGGTGCAGTTCTGGAAAAAATGCTCTTCTTCAATCCAAAGAGCAATTCTGGTGATGGGAATTTCAAGTCAAGTAGAAAAGGAGGGTAGGAATTAGGCTTATCAGCAGCTTGACATATTTCAGAGAGGCAGGCCTGCTCTGTGCGAAAACTCAGAGGTCAGGAGGGCACAGGGAAGAGGTCTGGCTTTTCTTACTCATTCTTCCCTTCTTTCAGATCCTCTTCAATAAAACTGGCCCCTTGACTTCTACTACTCCCGCTGCACTTCTGTGTATGAGTCGTGGAATGGGAAGCCAGCACGAGGGACGGGGCAGGGAGTCGGTATCTTTAGCCAGCCTGACTGGAATTTCCAGTGAGGACTCACTGCCATTTCCTTTCTGAAGCTACCAGGAAGCCCTGCTGTTCAACTGTTCAAAACTTATCTTCCACCCTGAATTGGCTGCTTTTCAGAGGTCTGAAAAAGACTCCATAGCACGTGCTTTCCAACTCACTACACCACATATAAGAAATCCATCCTGATAAAAGTAGTCTTCAAAGAATGCTGACATTTTTCTAGAACGTTCTGGTTGAAGCCTAGCTGAGACAGCTATGAATCAAAACAGTGAACAACATGCCATAAATATAATCCCCCCCATCTATCATCAGCAGGACCTAAGCTCAGAGTTATCTAGTAGTGGCATGGATTTGCATTAATCCATTCTCAGTCTCTCAGCTTGTCCCCCTTGTGACTAGTGGCCTACATTTGTGAGCTCACTGGCTAGGCTTATGAATACCGTATGTAGTAGCCGCAGGACAGAACAAACCCAAGTAACTCTCAGAATTCATAACCTTGCCTGACTCAGCAGATGAGCCACCTAGATAAAGAATGAGAGTCTCTTTTTCATGAGACAATCCATTCCTAGATTCAAAGAACCAGTGTGTCACTCAAGAATCGATTACCCAGAAAATCCTTACCTTTCTTCTCTTGATCACTACCAGAGGCAACCTATCTCAAACAGCCAGCCTGCCCCGAGGAACACTTTTTTGTGGGAAGGGGCAATAGTGGTGGTAATACCAAGACTGAGGACAGGAAGTCAAGTCTGATAAAATATAGGGCCAATTTGGAAAATGTTTTAATGTTCTAGTTTAATCTTAATTCAGATGTTTGAGAAATACATAGGTTTGGGTCTGGTAAAAAATGGTTCATCATGAATATGTATGTATATGTTCAAATATACACATATTTGAATAGCTGGATTCCATAATAGCTTAAAATTCAGCAAATTAGTGTGGCCCATTCTGATTTCTACTTCAGTTCAAATTAGTTCAAAGTCCTGAGTGAGGCCAGATCTTCAAATAAAATAAGATCTACTTCTAAGAAGATAAAAACCCTCAAAAGCCAAATTATTATTATTTTACTCTTATCCCAGTTGCTCCTCCTCATGTTGAGGTCTACGGTTGTCTCCTAACTCCCAGCCCAGGCTCCAAGAGTACTTCCCGGAGAGTGCTCCTCCTTGGCAGGCGCCTTCCATTTCCTAAACTCTATCCTAAGAAGCTGCGGGCAGGGGATGGTGAGAGGAGGATAAGACCATAGTCAGAATGAAGCAGCACAGAGAATGGAATACGAAGAACAGAGAGCAATCGTGAAACAAAACAGCCAGATGTAAAGATTCAGTTTCAGAAAACTTGAGTTGTGATGGAGGCATTAGAAAATGACAGCATAACACCTATTGCCAAGCATAACTGGCAAAGATGGCAGGCAAAACGCTTTTCAGTAAAATGGCTTTGTTCTTGTGTCATGTGGAACATTTGTCTAATTCTGTTTATTAAAAGACAAAAGACAAAAAAAAAAAAAGAACACAACTTAGAGCTCACCTTATCCCAGTGTCTTTGACCTGTGGAACTCAGAAAACATTCCTTTTGTGAGGTTATACAAATTGTGGATAAAAGAAATTAAGTATCTGACTTCTGTTTTAGAGTGAGTTTACAGAGGAATAGGGAATGAGATTCAGCAGACTATTTTCCATAGTTCCAAATGACTGCACTCCCTTTTGTGGGGGCTCATTTCAGTATACTGGTTTTGTAAATAAAATAAATATTCCCCCCCAAAAAGTCACTAACACATATAAGGCTTTTACCAGCTTGCCCTCTAGGTCTCACAAAAGTATGAAGGTAGAGAAATAAGCAGTGCAATGTTTTTTATTCTGATATCTAATGCAAGATAAACAGCAGGTATTTCTATTCACAGAGAACAGAGTGAACTTGGAAGGAAATTATCATCAATTACCTTCCCAACATGGTGTCTGGATGAGCAGTGAAAATTTGTGGATTCACAACAAAACGTGTGCCATCTACAAGAAGTGTCACTTTCTCTGGTGCCTGGGAATGAATATTACTGCCAAAGCCCACAGTGCTGTTTCCAAATCGTTCTGGAGCAATAAAGGGTTCATGGTTCCGTTTATTCCCACTTTGGCAGCAAGAGCCTTTGATGTCTTCAGGAAGTGGCATTATGTGCGGGAACTGAAGGTTTGCTGGCTGAGAGGCATAGTCAAATGAAAGGTCTAAAAGATCAAACAAACAAACCAAAATAACGTGACAGCAAAAAGTCTTGGGGGAAAAACAAACAAAAAGACCAAACTTTTAGGTGTTCACAGACAAAAACTCTTGCCTAGGGCAAGTGAAGAAAAAATACAAACGAGCGACTCATTGGATGCCCCGGAGCTTTTTCCCATTGTACATGTGTTGGGGAGGGGGAATGAAGGCAGTAATGTCCACACTTTACAATAAAATGTAATATCCTTCTTACCTCCCAAGGCTGAAAATAAATGTCTCATTCCCACCCCTCATATACTTCAAATCTGTACACAATAATTCATGAACATGATTACTGCCCATGACCTCTGGGAAATTAGTCTGATTTTTGGCACTTAGATAACCAAATAAGTTGTTAGCTAGAGTGCACTCAATTTTTTCCCGTTTGCTTCTAGAAAAAAGGAAACCAAGATTGAGACCAGAAACCTATTTAGGGCTCATATCCTATAGCTTCTGATAAATTTTTAATGTGGCCCTGTGTTTGCATGCCAAGAACTAAGTTTCCACACAATCCATGGGCAAAATTGTAACAAAAACACACTGTAATCGCTGAGGCAGGCTTTCACACTCGGAAATGCTATTCTTAAAAATGCAAGTAGGGGGGCTGGCCTGGTGGCGTAGTGGTTAAGTTCGCATGCTACGCTTCCACAGCCTGGGGTTCACAGGTTCAGATCCCAGGCACAGACCTACACACCAGTGGCTCATCGAGCCATGCTGTGGCGGCCTCCCACACACAAAATAGAAGAAGACTGGCACAGATATTAGCTCAGGGACAATCTTCCTCACCAAAAAAAAAAGAAAAAAAAAGAAAGTAGGTACCTAAATTACTACTTCAGTTCTTTAGAAAGCTTGATTTTTTTCCCCCAGCAATGAGGCAATTAAATTGGGTTGATTCCTGAAGGATGCCTCAGGTTCCACCCTGCTTAAGTGGGTGAGCAGGAAGAGACTCACTGCATGAATTCTCCCTCATGGTGCACTCTAGGGGGGCAGTCACACTCTGCTTTTCTGTCAGCTGACATACACAAAATAACAGCAGAGCCTGGTTCAGAAAGACACAGGTTCAAATCCCAGTCCTCTACTTCCTAGCAGTGTGAACCTGAGCAAGTTACCCAAGGTTTTGAAGCCTCATTTTTCTCATCTGTCAAAGGAGGATTAACCTAAGAAGGGATCGGCAAACTTTCTGTAAAGGGCCAGAAAATAAATATTTTTGGCTTTGTGGGTCATAGTCTCTGCCTTTGTGGCAGGAAAGCAGCCATAGCCAATATGTAAACAAATGGGCACATGGCTGTATTTCAAAATTTTATTTACAAAAACAGGCAGTCCAGATTTGACTGTAGCTTGCCACCCTTGATCTAAAAAATGTAGGTAAAGTTCCTAGCACAGTGAATGCTCAATAAATGGTAACTGCTATTGTTATTGTTGCTACTATTTTCATTAAAAGTTAAAAAGAACCTAACAGTTTATGAAGAGCCTTCACGTCCATTAACTCAATAATCTTCCAGCCTTGTGAGGTAAGAATATTATTATCCCTGTTTTCTAGATTAAGAAACCCTGATCTCATCCAAGGTTACAGCTGATAAGTAGCAGAGCTAGATTTTGAATCTGTCTTCTGACTCCAAACCCATGATTATTTTTCTTACACTGTTATCACCAAGTTAAATGTGCTAGACTGATTAAATAAGTGGAGATTTTCTGTGACGCTCAGCTTTATATAATTGTGATATGTAAGCTAAGCCAATTAACTAGATATTTTATTTAGATTAAGAACATTTATATGCCTTCTGGGTGGAGTGGATGCTCAGTGTCAGAAAGCCCTCCAAATTAAGTCAACATCTAATCACAGTACCATCATTCCTGGGACCTAGAGGATAAGCAAGAGTTTGAAGACCAGAAGAACCCAGGCTATTTGTTTCTTTTTCTTGGGCTGCAGCTGAGGCTTCATCCGTCAGGCAGCTGGCCTCCTGCCGCAATAACCTGTCGCTCTCACTGCCACGGTGAACGTTCATCCTTGGACTCTGTATCCTGAACTGTCTGCTTCATCAGAAAGAAGTCCTGGAGGACAGGAATGCTCATGATTTAGAACTGTCTAAGAACAGTTTCCAAGGACTTTCATGGCATGAAAGCCAAACTAGAGAAATGGCAGCTCTCATTCTTGTTCTGAGAAGAAATGACATCTTAAACATTTCTATGTTTTTTTTTTTTATTGAGAACTGGGCTTAATTAAAGTGTCTTTACCAAATCACCAAGCATGTTGATAAACTTGTTACTAGGGAATAATTTTAAGCTTTATCCATAAACAGACATCAAATTCACTGACTGTGGCCACATTCACGATCAATTCTACATAGTAAATGGTGGTACAATAATTTGGTGGTATTGTTTATACCACAGAGACACAAAGGAGGGAAGGGAAGTCTAATTGGTCAATTAAAGAAAACCTGCACATATATTTTTAAAAATTGAGACAGATACACCCCTGCAACAATTAAGCACTAGGAAACGAAATACAACTGCAAGCATAATGCTAGTATGAGAGTTGAAACTAAAAGTAACCTACACTAAAAAAAGCAAAATTTGATTTATGTAAGTGCTCAAGTTCTCCTTTATAAGTTCTCTCTTTCACTTTACATACCTTATGCTCAACCACCAACTCCCACCTCAAAATCACACCAAGATGTCACTGGCTATAAGGCTGACTTTCCCCCAAGCAGTGCACAATCATGATGAACAACACCTACTGTGAACAACACCTACTGAGTGACTGCCTTGTGCAAGGCATTTGGCAAGGCAGAATGGAGGGGCTGTGTGGGGGACTTCACACCTTTCTTCCAGGTAATCGTGCCCTGTAGCCCTTCCATCCTTGGGGGCTGCCCAACTACTGAAAACATTCCTGAAGATCACTCTACTTAGCACTTTCACAGTTTATCCTGTACTGATTTCCACTTCGTGTTCTCGTGGAAGAATCATCTTACATCACCAGCAATTTTTATGCATATGAATTGCATGCTAACACTGTTTTAGAAAGAAATTAGGTCACTAAGAGCAGTAACATGTTTTAATACTCTGAATTTCCAGGCTGGCCTGGTAGCGTAGTGGTTAAGTTCACACGCTGTGCTTTGGCAGCCCGGGGTTGTCGAGTTCGGATCCCAGGCGCAGACCTACGCACTACTTATCAAGCCATGCTGTGGCGGAGTCCCCTACACAAAAGAGATGTTAGCTCATGGCCAATCTTCCTCAAAAAAACAAAACAAAACAAAACAAAACAAAACTCTCTGAATTTCCTGACATACAAGCATGCAGAGGTAGTCAATAAACATTTGCAATGTGAATTAAATTGTGAATCCCTTCATAATTTGCAATGTGAATTAAACTGTGAATCCTGAGCATAAAGTTGATTGATCAGTTAGTCCCTGTTTTAACTTGGATGAAATATGAAATATATGAAATAACTTTGAAAAGATGAGTCAATACATCTGCCTGAAAACAAGTCATTTTAAAGAGACACTTTCAGTTAAGGAAATCTTTTATTTTCAGACAATGGCTCTTACAACATCAGGCAAACTGAGGGAATAAAGTGAATGTTCTGATAGAAAACTTAATATTTGGCTACAGCATTTTCAGGATTACCCTTTCTTAAGGAAAAAACAAAAAAATGTACCCACTTAAAACTGATCCCTGATGATTGGTAAAGTCAGATAGATCCACCACTGCCCTTAAGTTTGATTCAGAAGATGTCAAAAATGAGGTCTACAGAACAGGATAAAAAAGAAGACCCATGGAACTGGAAAAAGCATTATCATCAACATTGGAAAGAGCAAAAGGGGGTCTGCTTCTTTAAGTTCAATTGGTTTTGAACTATAATGTTTCACTCAACCTATAGCTGCTGCTTCTCAACTCTTCACTAGCTGCTCAAGTTCAAATTTCTCTTTGTTGCTCTCCAAAAGACCTCTTGGACCAAAACACAATAAGCTTGAATAAGCCTATCTCTTGCAAAGTTGCACAGACTAGACTGTTTAAGTTACTTCCTTTATTCCTGATAATGCGTGGGATATAGTTTCATTATAATGGAACAGAATGAAAACATGTTCTTCCTAGTCTATAGTACCAGGGCTCAAAACTCAGTTTAACTTGTATACAGTAAATTAACAAACAAAAAGATATACCTGGAACTTAGCAGGGTAGATATCTCCAATGAAGGAAAAGAAAGTAACTTGCTGAGCACTTAACAGGTATTTTATTTGTATTTAGTTAATTTTCATTACAAATAATACATGAATATTTCCCTTCTTAAAAAGGACGCTTTGATCATCATCTCCAATCCCAGTCATTTTTCCAAGTAACTAGCACTACTTGCTTGGTATGAATCCTTTTAGACTTTATAAAAATGCATTTATACTATACGTATATAATGGTAAAATCATACAGTTTTTAAAAAACACAGAAACTATATACTATATGCATCATTCTCATTCTGCAATGTTTTTCTAAATTAACTTTCTTGAGATCTATCCATGTTGGAAGATTAAGATCTAGTTCATTCCTTTTTTAACTGCTGTATAATATTCTATGACTCCACTCTCCCATCTATGAATACTTAGGTTGTTTCTAACTTAACTATTACAAACAGTGCTTCAATGAACAAGATCAGAGTGTACTATGAAACTCTAAGAAAGAACGTAGTTTGCAGAGTTTTCCCAAATAGATTTGGCTTCAGAACTCTTTTCAAGAAATGATCTCACCATTAATGCTTAATGGCACACACTGTAAGAAATTATCTAAAGCAACATTTCCCAAAGTCCCCTATGAACTAATTCCTCTATAATCCTAGAATGATAGAACAAAACTCTCTTGACCTATGAAACCTAAAAAGTAAACTGACTGACACCAAATTCTTCAACATACATACACCAAAGCAGCCAGTTTAAACATAAGAGTAAGGGTCTACTCCCCTTCCAGGATGGGTGTTTCATTCAACTTTGAATGTATATTTACATTGCCTACCATGCTTCAATTCTGTAACCATCCCCCAAATGAATGTTGGTCCTCAGAACAGATCTAAGGAGAAAAAAAAAAAGAAGAAATAAGCAAAGCACTTCAATGATATAGTTCTCTATTGCTACAAAACTATTTTTGGCCAGTGTAGTTCTAAAAGTCAGAGCAGTGTACAATTACAAGAACCAAAGGATCATGACACCCCTGGCACCCCTAACAGTAACTGATGAGACTGCTGCAGAAAAGAACTAGGAGTTAGAAATATATTAATAATGGAACTCAAACTGTATAGCTGTGAAGCAAAAAACACTTAACATCCAGCAAGCCAGCTCAAGCTTCACTTCCATACACTCTGTGAAAGCATTTTAATACACTCTAAAGAGTTACACAAATATACGTTTTATTATTTATTTCACAGGCCTCCCATGAAGACCCGTATTTTGTTAAGTCTTGATTTTGCTGACCTGGAATAGCAAAACCATTTAGCATCATAATCTTCCCATCTTGGAAAATTTACATACCATCTTTGACAGTGGAATTATCTCCACATATTCCTTGCACCTAAAAAAGGACACACTGGTTTCTTCATAGAACATAATCATCTGGAGTATTAATCCAAAATAACATCTAGATAACAAGTCTATGTATTTTCTTCTTACTTGCAATTTCCTCTAATCAATTATTTCCGAAGAAAACAAGATAATTACATGGATCACTGTTCCATTAAGTTCAATATCTTGCCATTGAATTATTCAGATTTTTAAAATCTAGTTGGAATGGGGTACAGGGCAATCAACAAACATGGATGTAACTCAAAAGCATAATGATTTCAGACTGTTAGTGGTAGAAGGGTATGATCTTTTAAAAGACAGTATCCTTTTTTTACTTCAGGGCCACGTCTCCTCTCTGTGTAAGAGCTGTATGGTGAAGATGATAGGATGCCATAGAATTTGGTAAATAAACCAATCTACCCTTCATCTATACTCCACAGTTAAATTTAGAAAGTACTTACATCTTTGCCAAACCTTCATTCCAGACTGACAAATCCCAGTCTTTTCAGTCTGTTCTCATGTGAAAACCACACCACTTCTTTAACTAATTTAACTGCCTGTCACTGACTTTGGTCTAGTTCCATTATGCTTTTTTCTTAATGCATAGTGATGAGAACTCTGCTTGTGTTTTCTGTTAAAGGGGAACAGGTTTTCTGTTCTGCTTCACATATGCTCTCTGGTGATACCCAGGATTTCTGGGAATAGAAGGTTAAAAAGGGGCCAAGCTGGAGGGAGAGATGATGTAAACTGATAGATACAATCTAGAATGTCTACAAGACTCCCTTCTAGGATGTTATTAAGTGAGAGCTAAGAGGCCCATCTCCAAATTGTACCCTGGGTATATATTTTTTAAACCAACTCCACTGAAGCTTTTCTGTCATGCTTCTACTCACTCCCTTTGCATGTGCGACTGGAATGTTCCAATCTCAGAAGAAATTTTGTCTTCTGACTATTTAAGGCTCTCTGGTTTTCCTTTTTCCAGATTATTTCTAAAAATATTGAGTAAAACTACTCTAGTATTAAGCCCTTATAAACTCTATCCTTAATATTTCTGGATCTCGTTTTCCTACATTATGTCCCTAAACCTGTAATAACTTAGCTGTTTAAATCAGCAAAGAAAGAGACCCTTGTTGTATTCCTTTGGGTCCTCCCTTCCCACCTATTTGCTGTCTTCCTCAAAGAGTGCTGGCAGACTGCTGAGACATGAAGACTACTTACAGATCTCTTGTTACATCTCTCCCCAAGTATGATCTTCCATTATGGCTCTACCTTTTATAACTGCAGCCATGGGCAGGTTCCTAGGTTTCTGTGTGTCTCAACTTCCTCACTTGTAAGAGAGGATAGTAATCATTCACCAGACAAGGGTGATATAAGGATTAAATGAGGTAATACATTTAAAGTGCTTAGTACAATGCCCAGCAGAGAGCACTTGATAAATGTTGATTATTGTTATTATTCCCAAATCAGACTCTACAAAGAACTTTTACAAGCCGAATCTTATTTGATACTGAAACAAGTCCAGAAGAGATACTTTAATTATCCACACTTTACTGCGGGGAAGAAAACAATCATGCTTTAGAGAGATTAGCAACTTGCCCCAAGTCGAAACGCTAGCTAAGAGGCAAAGATAGATTCCAAACGTAGGTCCTTGGATTCCCGTATGCTTTCCATCCCATCACATTGCTTCTCCCAAACCACCTCTCTTTCCTCCATTAGAAGTTATTCCTTCTATTGTTTGTCAGAAATGAAAGAGAAAACTAGAAGTTTCCACGGTCACTCCTGCTGCAGTTCTTATCAAGTAGGAGTTATGGTAGCAATGCGAGAATCCTATGATAAAATGGTTATATTTTTCCATAAATAACAATAGCATTATTAGTGTTTTACTGCTTATAAAAGCAATATGCTCAGTGAAAAAAACTTCAGTCAATATAGGAAGATATAAATACTTTAAAAATGAACAAAGCTGTGGTGAAACCTTTGCACACATATCTTCGGGCATCTACTCTGTTATATCCTTGGAATAAACTAGAAGCAAAATGGCTATGGAAAAAGGTCAATCATTTTCAAGTTCTCATATGTACTGCCAGATTGTCCTCTCTAAATATACCAATTTACACTCCTTCCAGCATCGTCGAGTGTCCACACTCTAGAACTCTCGCTCACATTCAGGGTTTCAATCTTCCTCATCTTTGCTAATCCATGATTAGTGAAATATGAGAGTCCATTTAAAAACTCATTCATTTTCATCAACACTTCCAAAATTTCACCTTTGAGAGCCTTAAAAGTTTTGGGTGGATGGGGTATCCATGCTGGGTGGATACTAGGTAATAGCAGTGACTTACTAATATCGAGTTTGTCAGGCTTGACTAGAATCACTGAATGTTTCCATGACTTGCTCAAATCTCCCTGGACGTCTGTGAGATGACAACAAGGTATGATGACAGGACCATCCACTAGACTGAAGCAAAGCAGGTTCTGGCTTTGGCTTTGTTATTAACTAGTTGTGACACCAAGAAAATGTCCTTTAAGTTTCAGTGTTTTCATCCATGAAAATGGGATGATATCTGCCACTGCCAAAGTTAGATAATCCTTTCTCTAACAGGATGTATGAAAAAGCCCTCAAAAAGCATAAAGCACCATGCAAAAGCAAGAGATACATTTGGGTGTGTGAATCTCTCTTATACACCTGCTTAGTTAGCCTTTATCTGGCTCTTCAAGCTCAGCATGCTCATCTTCCACTTCTGAATGTACTTCTTATGTTCTGACTACTGTATGATTCTACTGATTTCAGCTACCTTTTTCTTTTCGATTCAGTGAAATGACACACTGTACTGCTTTTGGAATTCTTTGAATTATTTTTTGCCTCGGTTGCCTAACTTTTCATTTGCACCTGACCTTCTGTGTCTTTCCATTTTTCCTCCAGGAAAACACCATATCTTCCCTTTCTCCTACCAAGCTGTCTTTTCTTTAGCTCTTTTACTCCTGTAGAATTTTAAAAAACAAAGAGAAACAATAATCCCGCACTGGGTAGTACGCGTTCATTGTACTGAAGAAGATCTTGAAAGACAAAAATCACCCATAATTCCTCTTCCACACTTTCCTAAGCGTACATACATAAATATATTTCTTTTATTTTTACAATTTGAGATTCTGCTGTAAATACTATGTTGTATTCTCAACATACCATGAACTTGGTTGTATGTCAATAATCATACACTTACATCGTTTTCAATGGTTGTACCAAATTTTACTCAACCAATTTCACAGGTTGTTTTTTTTACATTTAATCTTTAACCCATATACAATTTATTTGTCATATAGCACGAGGTATGGATCTAACGAAATTCAAATAGTTAACCAATTAACTGCCTTAACAATATATTCTGAAGAGTCCATTTTTCCACACTGATTTGAGATGTCACCTTTATCAAATACTAACATATGCTTGGTCTGGTTTTTACACTTTGTTTCACTGACTCATCTATTTCTGTGCAAATGTCATATATGATTTTAATTTAACAATATTGCCATCATTTTTCTATGTCACTTATCTAAAATGGTAGGTATTTTTAAGGTGTTAGGGAAATTTTTCCTCCCGAGCTTTAAAATAAGACTACTCATTTGTATTTTTTTCTGCAATGAGTAACACCAGTTTTATTTGTTTAGAATTACTGTGATAAGTTTTGTAGAACAGAAAATTTAATGGAGATGGCAGCTGCACAGACTGAGACTCCCTGTACCAGTTTACTACCCAGAATGTAGCTTTATTTGTTCTAACTCTCATTATATAGAAGTAAAAATTTGCTTTACCTAAAAATATTACTTCCATAATTCATTCCAATGAAATACTAACAAAAATATGTGGATAACTGAAACTACTAATACTAGAGCAATTTTGCTGTTTATTGTTGAGACAGCGTTTAATCAAATTTTTAATTCAAAAAGTAAAATTTAAGTTTACTTCAGCTATTTTAATACACGTAAATACGTTATATACTTTAAAGATAGATTATGTTGTCTAGATTAATATTGCAGCTATACCAGAAGACGTTTTTCTGTGCAGAAAAAGAACTTTTCATGATATTCTACTTCTTGAATGCTGGTCAACGTTTATACACATGCCTTTCTTCTATACTCTCCCTGTGAGCCTAAACAATTGTATAATTAATCCCTAGTAAAGCTCAATTCTCTTCTCTAACCACTTTCTCTTTTGTTTCTTTTTCTTTTCAAAGAACTGATGCTATAAAATATTTCCCCATTTACCGTACCATTTCCTCACAAAGTCTCAAATTTCAAGGGAAGCTATATTTAATCATAACTATCCTGCCTCCCATATTTACCAGCAAGTGCTTTGGAACCAGACTGCTTGGGTTTGGTTCTCGATTCCACCGCTTACTAGCTGTGTGAGTCTGGGCACATGGCTAATTTCTCTGAGCCTCAATTTTCTCATTTGTAAATTAAAAATAATAGCAACTATTTTGAAGAACTGTTTTAGGGATTACAAATACTTCAGATAAAGCACAGTCTCTGGCATACGGTAAACATTGAAAAAATGTTAGCT